CTAGATCGTTGCGCCGCGCTTTGCCAGCGCTGACCCTGCAAACAGTTAGCTGAGGCAGATGCACAGATGAACGCGTACTCACAGATAGCGAACCGGCTCTCCGTCCGAGTCTACCCATCCAACGTACATGAATATCTCTGTGTGCGTGACTTTCGCCCACTCGTCCAACGACTTCCGCGCCGTATAGCGCAGACGGGCACGAGATCTGTATCAGTTCAATGAGATGGCTGGGTAATCCATAACGCGCTGAGGAACACGCACTCTTCAATGACATCCTCTCGAGAGACTTCATCGTCACTGTCCTCGACGGATGCCGCAGCCTTCGCTTTGGCAGCCTGACGCGCACGTTTGGCATCTGCCTTTGACTCGGCAGATCGTCGCTGGTATTCCGCGTACTTCTCCGGCTCCTCTGCTATCATGCGCTCTATAGCCACATTGTAGGCTTCGTTGAATGCTGTGGCCTCGGCGCTCCTGTTGCCCCCTGCCTTGCGGACCTCACTCGTCGCATCGCTCCCAATCGACCGGTGGTCATGCATGAAAAGATCTCGAACGCTGGCCCCGCGCTCCGATGTGTCCTTGGAGGCGGAAGGAGCCGGTAAGTCAAGGAGCCTGGGCGCTGCAGCCAGTAGGTCGCGGAAGTACCGTCTATTGTTGCGCATCCAAACGATGACTTTCTGCACACATCGAGTTAGTCGGACTTGCGATGCAAGACGGTAGGAGTATCTACCGATTTGCGAACTTGCACGCGCTCATCCCGCTGCTCAACGGTTTCCCATTCCCATTTTTTGTCCTTCTTAAGTTGGCGGAAGAGCGTGTTATCCACGGCCGACTCAAACTCTTCCGCGGCGCGTATAGCCATCTTGTTGTAGTTATCGTCGGGCCGGGGATTCTTCAGCGTTTCGTAGAAGATTTTCGCGAGCACGGATAGCTCGTCGATGCCGCGCTTCGGGTCCACGATGCAGTACGCACAGCCGGGCGGTCTTTCGCTCGGCATAGTGGGACGCGGAGGTGAGAGAACGCAGGAGGAGGCTTTGGCTCACGAGCGGCGCGCAGCCACGCCTTTAAGGGCGGCGTGAGCCACAACTGGGCCAACTGGGCCACACTGAATGAGGTGAGCGGTCAGCGTTAAGCGAGAGAGGAGTGAACACAAAGCCACTTAGCTTGTGGCTCCATCAAAGCGTTCTTCGCCACTCATGTACCTGAGGCTCATTAAGCGATAAGTACGCATGCGCCACATGTAAGCCAAGTAACAGTCGAGCAGAGTACGTGTTGCGATTGTTCAAGCTATGTAGGTACAATAGGGGTAAACGATGAACTACGCCACTCGATGAACAAGGTGCACCGGGGGACAGGGCAGACGATGGAATTTGGTGATAAACGTGTCGACATAGAAGCGGAGAGCGCACGATTCTACAGTATTGAAAGTTACTACGTCGTCACACTTTCGGATGTCCTCGGTGTTGACGCGCAGTGCTTCTGGGCATGCCGGCCATGCTCTCAGGACATTCAGAAACGCCCACAAATTATCCCGGCGGCGCTCCCATCCCTTTTCGCCCGCGGGCGTCCAGGAGAACGTACGCGAGGAGATGTCGAGGGCCGAAAAGGCGGTCTGCAAATCAGACGTACGCCATACCTCCGTGACGAGCTGCTCGCGCTCCCATTTCCGGAAAGCATCGGTGTTGTGATCGACTACGAGAGCATCGAGGGCCCGAAGTTCGCAGCGCCAGTTCGTTTCGTACAATTCCCAAAGGACCATGGCATGCACATGTTTGTCGACAGTGGCCACTTGCAAGGTAACCTCCGTTCCACGATATGGGTAGACCTCCGTGTCCTGGTATGATGAGAGTCCACCGCACTTCCCAAATAGTCCCCGAACAGCATCACGGCGCTGCTGGTGTATTGTTGGTTCCTTGCTCACTACCTCGCCGGGCTCCCTGCTCGAAGAAACATCGTCTACGCCTTCCTCTAGGCGGTAATCGCCATACACGGCATGTCGCCACTCCGAGATACGTAGAGGAGCACCATTGATCGAAGCGTCCACTAGGCGGAGCTTGCAGAAGTGACGGATGCGCGCGAAGTTGTGGATGTAGCGCGCCTGATTGGTTTTGGCGTTGGCGATGAGAAAGGGCGGGGGGAAGTAGTAGAGCGATGCAGTGGGAGGAGGATGTGGCTGAGGAGACGCTTTAGCCAGAGCGGCATGCCAATTCGGCGCGACCGCGACGAGATCGTCCGGAGGCGATTCGTACGTCGTGGCCGGATGTGTCTCATGGGACTTGGCCCCGGCACGGTGACCGCGCGAGCGATTGCCCCTTTTCTTGGAGTTGCGAGTATGTTGCGTTGTCTGTTTAGGGGCAGGCACCAGTGAGGTGGATGCGTCAGTGCCCTTGAACCGCTTTGTCTCGTTCTCGGCACCCTCGGGTCGAACGACTGGCTGCAATCGCGGCAACGCCGATGAGCAAAGCGAATTGCATACGAAGACCACCGATGGGTGGGTCCATCGCCCTGGGTCCTGATGGGTCCCGTCGGGATCATACCACGCCTTCGGAATGCGCGGATATGCAGCTTGCTTGCTGAGCTCCGACGACCATAGTCGGGGCGTGACGACCCTATGAATGGTGATATCGGGAGACCAGGGCTGAATGTACCAGTAAGGGAGGCCGATTCGATAGCAAAGCTGGGCGGTCGCTGCGTTGCGGACGAACGCTCCTAGGACGTCGAGGACGGAGTGATCGTATGACCGGGTACTAGCGATGCGAGGCACAACCACGCTGTAGTACACCGTCAATCCTGAGAGTTCCAGGATGAGCCGGTTCGCCATCTGCCCGGCGACGAGGGCATGCTGCTCAGTCGTAGGCACTAACCTGAGGCGATCAATAGCGTTCCTCAGGAGTAAGCTGAGCATTCTCCCGAGTCGCCGATCGACACCGGAGGTAGCACCGGGCGCGAAGTTATCATTTTTGCGCGCTGTCCGTTCGGCTTCATCATATTTGACCAGTACGCGACACGCCGTTTCATACAGTTCCTTGAGTAACGACTGCCTGAGGAATCCAAACCCACTAACGCCAGACGTCATTGATTGCTCCCAAGCCATGAAACCGAAGCCTTCGTAGACCTGCAACCCAGGGGAATAACTCGACATACGCAGCGGGATGCACGCGTGGTGGATGCACCGCTCGCTGAATAGCTGAGGCCAGCGCGTATACTCCTGCGGTCCCCACAGGCCATCCTCATAGGTTACGATTTCTTGGCCGTATATGCGAGGGAATTCAGGAACCCAGTGCCGGGTAACCGTCGTAATGATGTTACGATCGTCCTCAGCATCCGCCGCGCACATGCCGTCAAAGGGTGTCAATATACTACGACATTCTGGTATAAACATGAGATGCAGATTCTCAGACACAATGGAGGTACCCGGTGACATACCTGATGCCGGGGTGGGCGAAAGTACAAATGAGGTTCGTTGAACAGGAAGGTTGAGGTTTGCGTCGGCCATCGGCTGGCAGAGGTGACGATGTCAATAGGCTTAGGTGACGTGACTGTGTATTGATCTCTTACCAATTAACACGGATAGGTCTTTCAGCCTCACGAGCCTATTGATGATCACCAGCCGCTGCTGAATGGGAAAGGCATCATACCGCCGATCGCATAAGCAGTTAACATTCCGCGCGAGACACGAAAAACAGAGTATACACACGTTAAGGGACAGCAATAGGAGCTCCACGGAATGGGTGAAAGGTCTTGTCCACCGAGATTGAGTGGAATGCGAGGACGGTCGAGAACTTGAGGGTCGAACACCGCACCAGGAAGGTGTAGGGCAGCAGGTAAACCGCGCCCAACCAAGTTCGCGCAGGATGATCGAAATCGTCCTGTTACGCAGAACCTGTCCTGATAGGTGTGTGGGAAGGAGAGAGGAGAGAAGCCAAGAGGTGAGAGAAGAGAAGCGCTATGAAAGCTTGGGAAGACTGGCGACGAGGTCGTTCAACCTTGAACGTTGAATCCTCGACGCGAGTGCGGAGTCCGGCGTGTGAATCGGTCAGGCGTGCACACGCCACCGCACCTTCTGTACCATACCGTGCGCCGACAGCGAGCCAACCACCGCCCTTATCAAACTCGCATCCACTCCCTACCGCGCCCTCGCAATCTTCATCCCTCAACTTTACTTCTCATATCTGTCTCTAGGCTGGTAACTCGGATGTCCGCTTTGGTTTCGACCATGCGTTGATATCCGAGGGGGGGAGCTCCTGTTCGCAACGAGCAGTTGAGCGAACCTTACTGGCGACATGGAGATGCGACTCGCAATCTCGGAAGACTTCAAACTGCAACGACCAAGCGACCTCAATGGGCGAGTCTGAGACCGCTTCTTGTAACTACCTGGGGTGAGTCTTGCTGTCCCTCGTATTGCTCAGATGCCTGACGGCGACCTCAGACAGCGCGCATCTTCAGAAACAACCATTGCTCCGTGTGATGCGCAAACAGAGTAAGTAGTCACTCAATACAATCCCAGCCTCACTTCGGATCTGAACTATAGTATTGTTAGTTCGGACGACTCAGCCTACTCAAGAGCAGAGTTCTGCGTCCGAATGGGATTATCCTCCACCGAACTGAAGTACGTCAAGAATGTTCTCTACCCCATCCCCTACTCACCCAGTGAATGCTTGGCACATGTCGAGGCGTCCGAGAGGCGCGATTGGTCGACACGTGAAGGAGAAGCACGAAGACATCTCAAGGTACATACCGGTTCGTACACATAGGCCCCACGCGGTCCTGGCCCCGCTCGTCATGATACGCTGACACACGATTCTTAGGCCACCCTCCTCTCTGCCAAGTCCGTTTGTAGGGCCTCGTGTCACCGCCTGGCGACGTCGCAGCGGCGATGAGATGCATCGCCACGACGCGCTTTGCCCTCCTACATCAGTGGCTACGGATGTATTGTGTAACCGACGAACAATGAATTGTACTTCGTAGCCGATGAATGAAGCTTTGTCCGTGGCCAAAGTGGCTACACCGCCACCCCTTGTCCTTTGACTTCTGCAACCCAAGTCTTGCCGTGCACCGTGAACGTCCCTCATCGCCCCACTTTACCCTAAACCCGTCCCTCATCGCCCCAACTCTCTTCTTACCGAGTAGTCGTCCCCTTCTCTGCTACGCGCGATGGGAAAGGGCAAACGAAAGAAAACCAATGACGATGTCTGGGTTGACCCCGGGGTTGAACGCATTCCGAACGGACCGCCCACCATTCTCATGGACGAACATGGGAAGGAGACCATCCATTATTGGTCCCCGCATCGACGTAGGGAAAAGCGACCGACGAAGTCGATGGATGCCGGCAGCGCCACTCTCCCGTCACTGTACGAGTCTATGGGGAATGAACCTCCCCGGCCCATGGAAGGAGAAGCAGGGTTAGATGGTTTCCTTCCCGAGGTTGTCGCGAATGTTGGAGTACAACCAGCTCAAAAGGCAAACCCAGTGAGTAAACGTTGACGATGTTCTTCCACCTTACTCATTACCTCCTAGCTACCTCATTCCATCACGGCCACCTTCGTCGAGCGGTGGGCGCAGAAGCTCCTCGACATCTTCCGAAGCCGAGAGACGGACCCGGACATAGGCACACCGTGCTATAAGTGCGGATCCAATGACGCACCCTTCCGTTGCACCGACTGTTTCAACGCACCTCTCCTGTGCCGAACGTGCATAGTCGATTGCCACGTCTGGAGCCCTCTGCATCGCGTCCAACGATATAATGGCACTTTCTTCGAACGGGTCCAACTCAAAGATATCGGGCTCATCTGGTTCCTCGGCCACCACGGTCGCCCATGTCCAGCCTCATTGGGTGGTCGACCGAGTCCGCTGACCGTACTGCACACAACGGGTGTACAGTCCGTACTCATCAAGTATTGCGACTGCAGCAAGCCGGGGCATGATCCTGTTGATCGTCCTCTACAACTGTGGGGCGCTGGATTGTGGCCAGCATCCTTCTCTAGGCCACAGACCGCCTTCACTGTCCATGTGCTTGGGTTCTTCAGCCATCTCACCTTCCAGGCGAAGACAACTGCCCACGACTTCTACGGCACTTTGCGCCGCATAACGTCTAATGCCTTTTTCGAGGACGTGAAGGTATGTGACAGTCAGATCAGGACTTGAAATGATCTAACAGTACATCCAGGATCGTTACCGAGAGTTCATGACCGCGCACCGACAGTTCAACTACGTGCATACTCTCAAGCGGTTCGCATTCGATGTCAAGAAGAAGCTCGAGGCTGGCTGTCTTGCATTGCGCTGCCCGGCATGCCCGCACCCTGACGTCAACATGGATCCGAACTGGAGGGAACGCCCCGAGAAAGATCGTTACAAGGACGCGCTTCACTATGCGAAAGATGGCAACTTCCACCTTAGCCAGCACGACAAGAAGATGGATCACGCAGACGTGCCACTGATGGACGGCGCGGCGTACTATGTCCATAGCGATGCATACCGCGATTATCTGGAGAAGATGAACGTGTACGAGGGCGCCCAAGAAGAGACGACCACCTGCAGCAACTTCAACGCGCTTTCCGACAGTTACAAGGGCAAGATCAAGACAGGACAGGTCGGGCTGTCATGCACTCGGCACGGGTTCGTCTTACCCTGCGGCACAGTCGACTTACACATTGGTGAACGATACGCGAATGTGGACTACGCGACTCTGTCAGGCCTACAGTGGTTCCATTCGCTTCACCTCTTGATCAGTTCCTACGACGTCAATTGCAAGTACGGTATTCACTGGTGGACGCGCCTTGAGAAGATCGCGTCCCTCGTGCCGTCAGTCCCCGGGGTGACCCTTGCCAAGGAGATTTGGCCGGCCATCCGACGTTGTGTACCCAAGTGGCATCTTGCCTCGCATAAAGGGCTGTGCCAGTGGCTCTTCTCCTTCTATTATACACCAGGCGTAGGTAACACGGATGGTGAATCCGTTGAGCGGCGTTGGGCGGTCTTGAATGCCATAGGTCGTTCGGTGCGCGAAATGGGTCCCGGCCACCGGCAGGACGTCATTGACGCGCACAATTCTGATTTCAATGCCCAGAAGATGTTCAAGATTGGTGCGTCAGATTGGCGAGATTCGTATGCTCCAAACTGACATGATCATAGCACGGCACTTGCAGGCGAAACTCAAGGATGCGCAGACGAACTCTGCGAAGCATAGGCTTCAACTGGATGATCTAGAGGCGACACATCGACTCAATAAGAGTCCGCTGGACGAGTGGAAGAAAGAAGAGGCTGTCTACATTGCTCATATTGTTAATGGCGACTTCGACAGCCAGAAGATGAAGAATCCATACCAACCGGCAGCAGACGAAGGTTAGCACATGCGGGCTTGACAGAGACGTCCACTGACAGATGTGTAGTACCGACTGCGCAAGATGTTCTTGCCGAACTCAAAAAGAAGGATGCTGTCCAGCGTGAGAAGAGGTTGAAGTTGACGGGATCCAAGCGGAAAGCAAGTGCGTTGGACGACACGGCTGCTGGCCCACCGAGGCGTCGTGGGTTAGGGGACCTGTTCGTGGCAGCGTTTGACTTGGAGAGACAACAGTGGGTGTCTGCCGTGCGTACGGAACTCGCTCATCAATGACGGTTTCGATTCACAGAGAAGCTCTAAAGGAGAAGGTGCGCGAACATAAAAAGGAGCCCTCCTCGGAGTTGTACAATCGAATAGAGAAGGAGCGCGATGCCCTCGAGGGCAAGTTGAAGGATTGGTCGATATGGCAAGAGCGCGAGATGGGCGCGATCCTCACTACGATGGAGGATGAGCTCGATGAAAGCGTCTGGCCGTCCAGCACGGCGATCAATCCCGAGGAGGCTGCGATGCTCGTGCCGTCTAGCTACCCCCCTGTGGTCCGCGAACATCCTTCATTCGAACGTTTCGTATCCGTCGAGAGGCGGCTACGCGAGGCACACGCGCACGACATACTACGCAAAGTGCGTCAGAAGTTGCATTACGAAGCCTTCTACAGATCTCAGAACGCCGGAGCCTTCGGTCAACAAGCTCGCACCAGGTACACCAAGCTTAAAGCGACGGAGAGGACAAAAATCGAGGTGCTACGGAAGGAGTACGAGTATGTCCGTGTCAAGGCGGCCAGCTTAGCCCCCCTGGGAGAGCCGTGCGAGTTAAAAGCATTGTCAGATAAGGACTGTATGCCCCCGGTCATCGCTGAGGAAAAGACGGGCAGAAGGAAGGAGACAGTGTCGTGGATCTGGCGTGACAAGACGTTCCATGGCCCGGCGCTCGAGAAGTGGGCCCTCGAAGGTGAGCTCTTTGGTGGACTGTTTAACAATGGACTCTGAAGGAAGTTTCCAGCGGCCAGGGTGGAGTGGTGTCGCGCGAGTGCACGCGTAGCGAGATGGGGTGAGGAGGTCGAGATTGTCCAGGAGGAAATGCGCCGCGTACAGAGGTTCTTCAAACACTGGATGGAGGTATGGGACGTGCGTGCCAAGGTGCCGTGCGCCACCTTGGCGCAGCGAGGAGCGGCGGCGTACGCAGCAAAGTAAGCCACGCCATCGTTGCTTTGTTCTCGATGATTGACATCGGAATGTTTGTTCCAGGCAGGCAGCGATGTATTCGCGGCTGTTGCTCAATGCCCGGGCGCTATTCCCAGTCGCGGAGCATATACAACTGCCTACACCGCTACTGTCCCCGCTCTCAGTGAGTGTAGCGGATGCGGTGGACAACGACGGCGAGAGGAATGTCGTGGTACCCGCCACAGACCACTTAGACGTTGACGAGGATGTGACGATGCACGATTTATAACTACAATACACAATTGATGTCCTGCTCCAGCCCAGCCGCCGACGAGTCTCGCGCGCACGACCTTCTGCTCAGCAACAGCTCAGCTGTTTATTTCTCTCGCGACCCTGTCGACAAGCGCACGGAGATCACCTACCTTGACGCACTCCGCGATTCGTTCTGGCGCGCGCGCCTACCGAACGTCATGAATCTCATCGCGAGACACTTGCAGTCGAGTACGGCGCGCGTCACACCCGCAGATACTACCACTCTCGTATGTCCACCGCGGTCTCCCAGCCTGTAGCTGACGGCCACAGCGTCCCGGCGACTCCTCTGACAACTGTCATTCCCGGACTCACTCGCTCTTCGCCCAGTCTTAGTCTTTCTCCCGCGCAACCATCCTTGCTGCAATCCATCATGGCCACTCGACTCACTGCCTCGCCTGTCGTCGTCTGGTACTCCCCGCAAGCCACACGCTTCGCTGAGGACTCGGGTGGACATCAACCATCGCTCAAACTGCGTCCCTGCCTGGTCACCAAGGTCTGCGCCGACTGGATCCGCGTAGCACCGCTACTGTCCGCGCGACCGTACAGCCAGGTATACCGTATATCGACTGATATTTCGTGCCCACCGTCTAACGGCTGCACCGTGAAGATGGAACAGAAGTCCTGGAGCGTCGTGAACTTCGGCGAACACGGCCCCACTCCCCCTGTCCACCCTCTGCCCGGTGCGACCATCTTCGACCTGCCTCTGCGCGAAGGAACGCGTAGCTTCTGGCCGACGGCGTGTTTCGTTTGGACGCGCGATGGAGGAATGTGGATCAACATGGCCGAACTGGGATTCCGCGGAGCTCGCGTACTGGACGACGATTTTGAGTTCAACGACGACATGGTCGCGGAACTGCGGGAGAAGCACGAAAGCACAGGTAAGTCCCTAGTCTACAGCATAGGGACCAAGCTAATTGTTCTCAAGTGGTAGGGCACTAGGGCTCGGTACGATGACGCAGGGACGGACTCAAATTACCATACGCGTGTGCAGTTTGTATGTGATCAAGCATGGCCTGACTGTGATGTATCCCCCACCCTCCCACTCATGTAACGCTCTTGATCAGCGAGCGCGCTCCCTCGGCTTCATACATTGTCACCCCCTCGAGTCGTCTGGCGCGCGCGTAGCAACATCGCTCTACAAGATACGCTGGGCCGCCGCCACGGTTTCTCGGTGGTTCTATTCTGCGCGTTCTGCCTTGCGCAGCTCGGGTCGTCAATCATCGCTGTGTAAGCCAACTGGGGCTTCACTGACATCCACGGAATGTCCGGTGGCTCGGTTAGCATCTCCTGGATTTGGCTAGGTGTTGGTCATTACAATGCTTAACTGGAACTGCACTCATGCTCTCTGTAGGACATCGTCTGATACATTCCTCTCGCCTGGAACAAGTTCGCGACACAGGCGACAGTCATCAAGTCTCTCCGCACGCATCACGAGGCTGAGCTCGCGAAGTCTGGTGAGAATGGTATCACACTGTGACCAGCTCGGTACGCCAGCCTGCCAGATTGGTGCGAATGGACCGGTACTGACTTTCTATTCTGCAGTGTACTCGACCAAGCGTATGCGTAGCAGGCGCGCACATTCGTCGGCACTTGAGTAACGCTGCAGCAGCTGCCAGGGCGCCATCGGCGACGCGAACACGCCCATGGCCACACCCTCTGGTGCCGTAGGCAGGTGGTGGCGACCTGAGGCGTGTTCAGCTGCCAGGGACACGATGCTCTCGAAGGCTCTAAAGGTGCGTCGGCCGATGACGATTTGCGTGCTGTCCCCTCGTCCTCATTTGACTTTGACAACTCTCCTTCCCGCGCGAAGTCGAGATCATCACGTCAACACTGCAATCCGCGTCCACCGTCCACACATTCACCTATACCCTCCCCGCACCCGCAACTTTCCTCGCACCGTCCGTGTCAACGAACCTCCTGCGCTCGTCTGTAATGACCACCGATCCGCGCGCGTCTCCATGCTCTCCTTCCCCTATCCCTACGGCGACGACTGTCCATCATCATGTCACCGTGTCGCACCAGCGCGAATGACATCTACGCGCAGTACACGAGACAGTCGCGTCCTGTTCGATCTCGCGAGAGCGAATAAGCGCTCGACGTGCCCTGACTAGAGAGAGACTAGAGATGGTAGACTACGAGATATAGACTACATGTACTTGACTGGAAACGGCAGACTATGTGTAGCAGAATTAACAAATTTGACTGTTTGAACCTGACTAGATTAAGCCCGACTAAAAGTGCGGACTAAGATATGTGGACTAAAATGGTGTTTATTATTTCTGACTACTACAGCACAGTACATACGCGTAACACGCGCGGGCGTATCAGTCAGCTCAACAGTCAGAAATAAATTAGTTGGCCTTGACTATTTAGTCAGCAAAAAATAATTGCACTACCTGAGATCATTGGGTACAAACCTGTCTCATCGAGCACCTTGGCGGAGACACAGATTCCACAAGAGGCTGAACGCATCCGCGCCCTTCAGATTGAGCTCCTGAAGACCAAACATAACCTGACCATTACGTACGATGGTGGCGCAAATCGGCGCCGAGAGTCATACTATACAATACACGTCACAACTCCTGCGGAGGCAGTTGTACGGCCGGATGGAGATGACGGTCGGCGTCCGTTCCTCATTGAAGCCGCTGCTGGTCTCGGCTTCTCGCATACCGGGGAATGGATTGCGCAGCAGATGCTACAGGTATGTCAACGTCCTGACGTGGATGCAGAGTATATTTGGAACTCACTCAATTATCCGAATTGTGACAGGTCATCAGACAGATCGGGGAGGGACGCTTTGCAGCTGTGTCCTCTGATAGCACAGGGAACACAAGGACATGTCGACGCTTCCTATGTGCAACAATACGGACGATTCTCGACCTGAGAGACCCGGTACACCACTCAAACTTGCCCATCAAGAATATCTGTGCTCTCACCTTCTTCGACGAGGTCATCTCAAATCTACGTCGCACGCTCACGTTCTTCGCGCATTCGGATGAGGCGGTGAACGTCCTGTTTGAGGCGAGGGTGGAACTCGATATTGGACGCGGCTTGGAGAGCATCGGTACAACGCGGTTTGCCACAATCACAATCTCGGCTGTTGCAATGCGCCGTTGTCTTCCCGCGCTGAGGGAGATCTGCACGACAAAGCGTGTACATGTCGAGGTGAGTACTATGACACAAATCAATTGTTAGACACATACCAACCGTCACAACAGGAGACGAACCACTTGTTCATGCGGAATTCGCCTGCAAGCCTCACATTCGAGACACAGCTCAACCAGCTAATAGCTGTCACATTACCGTTTGCAAAAGCTATCACCTGTCTCGAGTCTACCCACTCGACCATAGCTGATGTGTTCCTGTTCTGGTGCGCAATTGGTGCGTCGCTAAAACGAGTTCTCTCCGATATGTCATCCGGAATCCCTGGCGGCGTCAAAAGTGAGATCCGTGCGATCTTCAACACGCGATGGCACGAGCTATTCGAAGAGGAACCTAACAAGGATGTGTACCTTGCTGCAGTGTATCTGGATCCAGGTACGTTCTCGAAGCGACGCGGGCCCGCTATCATTTCCGGCAGTGCCAGGGCCTACTAGAAGCATTGAAGTTGTACTCACACAATGGCTATCACAGATTGGCGCGACTCGGCGATCTTCAAGCACCCAAACCCGCTTGCAGCAGAGCGCAAGCGCAAGCGATCTACGGCCGAGGCCTCAGGAGCGCAATCAAGCCTACCGGGTGGTGCCTGTGAACCGATCGTCACTCACCCGGACATCGCAAAGCGTGTCGGTGCACGTCTTATGGTGATTCTGAAAGGCGAGGTCGAGAGCGGCAGCCACCCGCTGCTCCGTACTGACGATCGCAAGGCACAGGGGGTGATCATAGATCGCTTCTTGATGCAATTCCGCGCGTACGCACGGAACGATTATCCCTTCAACAGCCTTGCGCGGGAGCCTGGACAATCAGTCCTCGAATGGTGGACGACCCTGAAGAAAATTCACGCCAGTGACGTTCTCGCGGTGAGCTGGCAGATACATGCCTTCACGAGCCGGAATCTAACATATTGTTGCTTATGTCTTGAATAGGCTATTGCGATCAAGATGTACGCGGTTGTCCCGAACTCGATGGCCGATGAACGGACAGCCTCCACCTTCACATGGTTGAACAGCGTGTCGAGGAACCGGCAAAATCTCAATTCAATGGTGTCCCAGACACAAATCCGACAGTATTACAGAGCGCGCGCGAAGGTGAGTATCATTGTTGTATTGTCTACTTATAACTAAGCTATGTACTGCCTTGGTTACCTTAAGGCACGTCCACATTCCGACCCCAAGCCGTCCGTCAGATTCTTTGAGATCGACAGCCGACTCCGTGACGATACCTCGGCTTCAAAAAAACCTGCAAAAGGCAAGTTTAAGGCTACGAATACCAACTTACCGCATCTTTGTCAGTTTAAGTGCATCTACTTTCATTCATTAATGAATTAAACCCTGGATCTGATTTACACACTTTTGTACCCCTGTTAATCTAATCCTAATTCAATGCAGTCTTAATCCATTGCTCAGCTCATATGCCTAATCCTGGTGTATTACAGAGGTCTTTTGATGCATTCTTAATGCACTACTGATCCACTTATAATGCACTGACTTAAGACATGCTTGATCTCAGTGTATCACAGGGGTACCTTGATACACTATTGATCCACTAAAGATGCATTGTCCAAGTCAGTGTATTACATGTTTAAGGCATACATGTATGCAGTTCTAAGCTGCTGGATTAGTTTTAGATCAAGGCAAAAAAAGGGGACATTGGGGGTTTGAACCACAGACATCAGAAAGCATTACATAATCACATCATCAAGTCGGACCACAGGAACACTAACCACTACACCACAGGTCTGTTAGAAATGTTGTAACACAATGTTATATGTCACATTACTGGGATGCTGGACTTAGACATATTTTGGATGCTGGCACAGGGTGCCCTGCATTAGTGGTGGATCAATAGGTGTGTTAGCAGTGAATTGACACAGTGTGGTAACAGTGAATTAGCAGTGACTTGACACAGTGTGTTGACAGTGGATTAGCAGTGAATTGACAAAGTGTATTAGTGCTAGCCCAACATGTGAATCAGTGATGAATCAACATAGTGCATTAATGTTAGCCAGACAGGTGACTCAATAGTGACTCAACTGACAATGGATGCTAGATGTCAAATTTGTTAGGTCAAAGGTTAAAGTCACTTTTGAGTCACATGTTGGGCTAGCACTAATACACTTTGTCAATTCACTGCTAATCCACTGTCAACACACTGTGTCAAGTCACTGCTAATTCACTGTTACCACACTGTGTCAATTCACTGCTAACACACCTATTGATCCACCACTAATGCAGGGCACCCTGTGCCAGCATCCAAAATATGTCTAAGTCCAGCATCCCAGTAATGTGACATATAACATTGTGTTACAACATTTCTAACAGACCTGTGGTGTAGTGGTTAGTGTTCCTGTGGTCCGACTTGATGATGTGATTATGTAATGCTTTCTGATGTCTGTGGTTCAAACCCCCAATGTCCCCTTTTTTTGCCTTGATCTAAAACTAATCCAGCAGCTTAGAACTGCATACATGTATGCCTTAAACATGTAATACACTGACTTGGACAATGCATCTTTAGTGGATCAATAGTGTATCAAGGTACCCCTGTGATACACTGAGATCAAGCATGTCTTAAGTCAGTGCATTATAAGTGGATCAGTAGTGCATTAAGAATGCATCAAAAGACCTCTGTAATACACCAGGATTAGGCATATGAGCTGAGCAATGGATTAAGACTGCATTGAATTAGGATTAGATTAACAGGGGTACAAAAGTGTGTAAATCAGATCCAGGGTTTAATTCATTAATGAATGAAAGTAGATGCACTTAAACTGACATCACTGTGGGCTGGCGATCCCGGAGGACTGGTCGGAGGGAGTGTGAGGGACGAAGGCCAAGGGATCGATCGTGCCATCAGGACGAAACGGAGCGTACGAAGATGGGGGGGCGACCAGAGGGAATGGAATGTGCGCGTTCGGAGGCACAGCTCGGAAGAAGGCGCGAGCAGGGGGACAAGCCAAAGGAGAAGGGGGCCTATCGTCTGGCGGCTGGCGACCAGAGAGAAGGGGCGTAAAGGGGAGATAAGGGAAAGGAGGTCGGAGGGGGACAGCGAGAGGGATTCGCGAGGAACCCCAGATGATGAAACGCCCAGTGTCATGTACCTCGGGGTACACCCGGAAGTCCGCGATGAGACGTCGTATCTCGAGTTGTACCAGCTCGGGGGCGAGGTGTTGGCACCTCCCGACGTTGAAGGCGTTGCGACGGGTGCGGGCGATCACTTCCTCGTACTGGGGAGGGAGCGGCGTCGGAGGGTACCCGAACTGCATCGCGATGACGAGGTTCGCGACGAAGGCGTTCTAGGCGAAGGGGGCAGAGTTAAGGCGCGGAACGAACCGCGGAGGGGGGGGAAAGGCCGGGACGTACCAGGTGGAACACGGCGGTCCGAGCCCAAGCCATCCAACGCGCGAGCACCGCGAGCTCAGGGAGCCAAAGAGAAGGGACGCCGCCAGGGGGAATCACGATGAAAACTTCGTTGGCGACGTCCTCGCTGAAGGACCCGTGGAGCCGTGATAACACCTGCGAGACGTCCAGAGCGGTCTGAACGTCTAGCTCGCGCTCGAAGTTGAACGTGGCCTGGGACATGGCGAGGGGTCGGAGGAGGAAGGAGCAGGCGCAAAGGGGGATCGAGTGCAGCGAGTGGAAAGAGACCGGAGGGGGCGAGGGCACGAAGATCGCTCAGGCGCCGGCTGTGAGTAGCAGCGGGAGGCGACGGAAAGAAGCTCGACTGGGAAGGTGGCCATCCGGACCGATCAGCCATCGGGATGCCGCGCAATAGCCCCGGAAGGAACGACTGACCGGGGACGGTCAGTATTTTTAGGTCGGGGTAGGGGCCTAGGCCCAGATCGGAGCAATCAGGCAAGGGCGTCACGACGAGGCCGTCGCATGGCAAGCAACACGGGCACGACACACGCGGAAAGAGAGAATGGCAATGCGTTAACTCGAATATTCTAATACAGAACGAGGGGCATACGCGTCGGATTGTACAAGCAACACACCGGTACCGGACACTTACGGCGAGCTCGCCTCCCAGGAGCGTACCTGACCTACCAAACCAGCGACCTCCTCTTCATCGTCGTCCAGCTCGTCGCGCTCGTCCTCGCTCTCGACTTCGTGCTCGTCGCTCACAGACGGGGTCGCGGAGGGTGACATGGGCGGGCGAGAACGGCGCGCCGACCGGGAACGATCAGCCAACTGCGCGGCGTGAGTCGCACCGGAGGCAAGCGCGGCGGAGCGCATGGCCACGTTCGGAGGGACGGAGGGTGCGGGAGTACTACGCGGGCTGTCGAAGAACAGCGGTGTCGATTTCCGCGGCAACACCGACGACGAAGGACCGGCCCCGCTTGAAGACGACGGGTTCGCCGCCCTAGAAGACGACGGGAAAGCCCCGAGTAAGTCGGCGGGTGCGTTTGCGACCGGCGGGTCGGGAAGGAACTGGAGGGAACCGGCTACCGAGTGCCTGGTCTGCAAGGGGTGGGGGCCGATATATCGAAGCCCGAGCCGCGCTGTAGCTAAAAGGAGAAGGAAGTCGTCAGAAGGAAAAGACGGGACGAGTACCGGAAGGGAAAGACTTACGGACACCTCGGAGCGAACAGCCCACCTTGGCTTTCACGCACCCAGCGCATGAGTGCTGCGAGTGGCCATCCACGCGACACACTCCCGGAGGCCTCTGCGCAGCGCACCTGCTGCAAGCCTGGCTAGGGGCGTATACGAACAAGCCGTAGCGAGTTCGAGACGCGGCCGTCTGACCGGAGGGGGCCGGGGGCACTGGATCGGAGGAACCTGCAGCCGGACCGGAGGAGGCAGCAGGACCGGAGGGACGTGACGAGGAGGCAGCAACCGCGGCGGAGGGACCCGGGGTCGAAGCGCTAGGGGCAACGGCAGGGGGTGGCTGAGAGACCCCGTACAACCGCAGCCCGGGAGCTTGGATGATGGGCGCGGGGCGAGAGCTGGCGGGGGGTGCACGAGAAGCCGCCGCTGGGGCCCGAGGGACAGAGTCGACGAGGCCCGTAGTGGGGACGATAGGACCTGGGGCGGATGGCGCGGGCAAGGATCGCGAAGGGGCGAGGCGCGGAGCAGCCGACGGAGGGCCAGTAGGCGACGGCTGGGGGGCGACCACCGAACCAGCGGAGGGAACGGGCGGGACGGGGTCGAGGAGGCCGGTGTCACGAACGAAATGGTCGGGGCTGGACGGTGTACGCACCGAAGGACCGGGAGAGGATTGTGCGGGCGGAGGAGGAAGCTGTGAGGCGTGCCGAGGGGAGAAGCTGCCGTCCAGCCGGAACGGCCCAGGAGGAAAGAAAGGGGGGACGAAGACTCCTTCCGGGGGCTGAGCTGCGGGGCTCAGGGCGGCGGAGGGAAGGGACATGGTGGCCAGGTTCGGGGTCGCCGCCTCTCCGCGCAGAGTAGCCCGCCGGTACTCCTCCAATGGTCGGGGCACGAAACGACGAGGTGGTGCATTTCGGTCAAACACGACGGGATAAAAGGGGAAAGGAGGGAAGGGAGGGAGGAGAGGGACGGCGAGAGGGAACGACAACTGGTTCGACCCCCAGACAACGTACCGGCCATTAGGATGAATCTGTGCCGGGCGGCGAAGGTCGGCCTCCAGGTTGGCAAGGAGGGGTCGGAGGGCGGCGGGGACACGATCATTTCCGGAGAGGTGGTACATCGACATCGAAAGCCGGACAAGAACGGGCTGGATGTCGAACTCGGCCGGGGGATGGTGGAACTGCACCGCTAGATGGTGGTTCGCGATATAGCCATACTGAACGGAGGGAAGGAGGTCAATGGGGGGGAGGCTAGCCACGGGAAGGGACGTACGAAGTCTATCACGAGGGCGCGGGCCCACGACGCCCAGCGATACACCGTGTTGGTATCGGGAAACTGGGGCGGGCGGATTTGTATCTCCTCGGCCGTATACACCTCGAACGCGGAGACGAGGCGGACGAGGACGGCGGAGAGGTCCGCGGCAGCAGCGGCGTCGAGGTACGGAGGGGCGGACATGGGTGGGTGACGGGACGGAGGGGAGAGAGGCACAGCAATGAGAAGATAAGGGAGGACGGAGGGAGGCCAAGGCACGAGGATCGAACAGACGCTGACCAGGGGCGGCCGAGGAGCGGTGGCTACAGGCAGCGGGAAGGAACATCGCGTTAGCGCCGGCCAGGAATAGCAACGGAAGGGGCGGGACGGATGCGAGAATCAAGGGACGTTCATGCCAGGAGAAGAGCGGGAAGGGGACTGACCGGGGACGGTCAGTATCCGAGGTCTGGGCAGGTGTGGGCGGTGCCCACGGGCTGAGGCCGGAACCGCCGGAAGATGGAGAGTCAGAGAGGCCGGGAACGTTAGCTGGGGAGACAAGCATCGGGCCGCGGCAATAGGCCACGACGGGACATCTTACGAAGTCATTCGAGCGCGTCACAAGTCAGATCTATTTAACTCCGCAAGCCGTTACATGCCAGGACGTACGGGTACCGGGGCGAACAAACCGGACGGAGGAAGATGCTACTCGTAAGGGTTCAGTCACGGATTAATTCCAACGGGGGAGGGATGTCTCGCGCGTCACATATGTCCTCTAGACGGCCCGAGATGGAGACTACTTCGCGCATCACAGACAGCTGGTCGATCCGGGCCTCAGCCAGGCCGCGGTGGAGGTGGCCGAGTTCGAGGCGGAGGACCTCTAAGGAACGGTCCGTTGCGGCGAGGACGCGGTCCCAGTTGTCGGTCGAACCGCGGAGGGAGGAGAGGCGGAGGGGAGGATCGTTATACGACGGAGGAGGAGGAGGTCGGGCTTCTTCCGCGGTGGCTTGCTCCCTCTGAAGCTGGTCCGGGGACCAGGGGATGGTCGCGTATAGGAGCGGCGCCTCGTTCTGCTCAGAGCGGAGGTTGAGGAACACGCGGTCCAGGTGCTCGATAAGCTCGCAGACCTCGGGGATACCGGACGGAAGGGGGACGCGGGCGTCGCCGTGAGCGGTCGCTAGGGCATACGACTCGAAGAGCATTCGCTGGGGCAATGCAGACGGGTCAGGAGGGATGAGGAGAGCGACGGGGCGGACGAACCACGAGCCAGCGGGCACCATGAGCCCACGCAAGCCAGGCAGTGGCGTGCTCCACGTCGAACCGGGGCTCGAACGTCCCTTCGTACCGGAGAACATCGACAAGACGGAGGTAGCGAGCGGAGTGCGACGAGGTGGTGGGGTTCGGGGGCTGCGCCATCGGTATAGGAACGAAGGCGTGAGTGGGGAGAGAAGGGAGGGAGGGGGCAGACCCGGAGGGAAGGAGGGCGGGGCACGTGAGCTCGGCTGAAGGAGGATAAGTAGCGAGGCGGAGGGAGCGGGGGAGGACACGTAGGACCCACTCTCGGACGCGGACTAGGACTCGGACTCGGAGGCTCTCGACTCGGGCAGACGGCTCGGAAGGAACTCTCTATATTTCGCTCTCGTATAGACTTGTCTTCTCGACGATACACTCGTCGCATACACCTAATATCACTACCCTTCCTTGACTAAAAGTCTACCCTTCCTCCTTACCCTGTACGGAGGGAGCCGAACTCAACAGCACACACCGCACTAAGAAATACCGTTGCTGCGACCTTGTAGACGAACTAGCTGACAAATGGAATGCGATGAGCGATGCCGAGAAGACACAGGCTACGAAGGAGTACACGACGGGCTTGCAGGAGGCACGGGACACTGAGCGGTTTGCCCAGCGCAACACTAAGCTCGGTGCCCATCACGACGCCCAAGACAAGATTGCTACGGCGAAGGTATTGGTTCGTGAATGAATGCTTCTATTTATATAGGTTACTGAGGTCTGCACAGCTCTCCGAGGCGGCCGACAGAACGGGTGTCCAGAGCCTCGTCATCAACGTCCGAGGATCGCCGGAGGACTGGACAAAGCCACATGTCTTCTTCACGCATGAGGGCATCTCCCTCTTCTTCGACATCTTCATGCGATGTCCCCTCACACTGCTCGTCACGCGGCTTGAAGCTTACTTGGTTTGTGGGGCAGCCGGTAAGTTTCACAGACAGCTATATGGCCACAGCTTACTCACGGCGTGTACAGATGTTGTCCAGAATCACAAGCAGCGACTCCTCCATGCGAAGAAGGAGCTAGCAAGATTAGTACTCGAGAAGCTCAATGCCACTCTGAAGAAGAAGAAGAACCCCGTGCTACAGATGAACTACGTCAATATCGACGATGCTATCACACGAAAGCATCACGTCCTCATCCGCGGATACCCGTCGGGCGTGTCGTTCTGCGCGCCAAGCAAGCTCGGGAGCATGCTCGAAGTCGAGCTTGTCACGGCTGCATGGTCTTCGGGTACGACACATTGGCACCGCTTGGAGGGCGAGGAATGGGTGAAGTGGCTGAAGGACCATCCGGAGTTGGATGAAGCTGGGGCCGAGGTTGATGATGACGACGACGACGGAGAGCCTGACGTGCCCTTGGCTGTAGCCTTGGCGGCGCGCGTGGATAGCGGTGTGTCCTCCTCCCAGAGTCCTGTCTCCCCCACAACACCCTCCGTCCCCGCTGTCGCTGCCACGATTCCCGATGTCACACCCGTGGCCCTCGACAATGCCCAGGCAGCCACGAACGTCGCATCAGCCTCCCTCGTCGCGCCGGTCTCTGCCAACATCACACCGGCCTCTGCCAACGTTGCGCCGGCCTCTGCCAACGTTGCGCCGGCCTCTGTCGACATCGTGCCGGCCTCCATCAACATCGCCGGGGCCTCTGGTTACATCACGCCGGCCTCTGGTAAGATCGAACCGGCCGCTGTTGTGCCGCCTCATGGTGCCAATCGCTCGGGTTCTACCCCCGCCGACATACCCTCCTCCTCTGCCTCCCTCGTCAATAGTGCCGCCGCCGCCGCCGCCATCGGCCCCTTGTCTCTCCCCCCTACTACCTCTACCCCTGCCGACGTCCCCTCCGGTACTGCTGCTCCGACAACTGCCAATCCCCGTCCTGCTGATGTCGTGAACACCACGACTCCGGGCCCTGTCGATGTCACCGTCGCCTCCCGAACCGCTGACACCGTTTCGGGTGAGCACCCTACTATCCTCATCGACTCAAGCGTGGCGAACGTTCCTGTCGCGGCACCCGCTGGCAAGCCCAAGAGACGTCGAGCAGCTGCCGCCACGAAGGCAACCAAACGCCAGAAGACGGACGGCGGCAACTTCATCATGTGTGGCCCTGACGGTAAGCGTGTGGGACAAGCTTCGAAGCCTCGTGGTCGTGGGGGTTAGTAGGCAATGATGTACTTACAGTATACTATGGACTTCAATCATGTTACTATGCTCCAATGAATATGTCTTGTTAACACATGAGCCAATTGACCCCCGAGAGATGTGACACTTCGCGGGCGGGTGGCGGGCGGTCGCGGGCGGCGGGCGGCGGGTGGCAGCAGGCGGCGGGATCATGATGTCATCACATGAAGTACGAGGTGCCGCGACTGCAGCTGCTATGTAGTCTACAGTCAAGTACAGTACATGAATGGCTGCAATACATTACAAAAAAACCGGACGGAAGGCTTGAGTTTTGAGGGAGGCAGCGCCGACGTCGCGCGCGACGGCGCCGACGCATGTTCGGGTGACGTGCGCCACCCAGAGATAGCCGCCGGCGGGGCGCGTGGTATCTAGCGCGTGGCGACGGCAACGGTGGCTGAGGTGGCTGAGGTGGCTGAGGTGGCTGAGGCAGCTGAGGCGCGCCGGTGGCTGAAAGGACTCCGTTTACGGTGAGGGAGTAGGTCGACTAGAATGTTACCGGAAAGAGGAAGGGGGCGGGGGACCTATGGTGTCACCCGGGGTACAATGGGAGCGGTGCTTCCGGGCATATTAGGTCAGACTACCCTATCGGGCAACAGATGCTAATAAGGTCGATCATGTGGGAGATCGAGGTGCTGTGACTCTGGGGAACGCCATGGTTTGCTTCTGCTAGCATCCGCACAAACATGAGAGTTTCAGCCTCAGATTGTTGACGGCCTTGAGCATCGGTACGACGATCAATATTCGCAGGTGGCTCGTCACCATAGGCATTGTCCTTGTTCCTCTTAGGATTTTGTCCAGCACCTTGACGGCGTGGACGTTCGTACTGAGGTTGCGGAGGAGGTACAGGATCAGGTTGCGGTTGTGGAATGTCTCCCACTGGCTCTGGATGGTCTTCAGGTTCAGGTTCATGTTCCGGGATAGGAACGGGAATAGGTAAATCCTCAGAATCAGAATCCTCCGAGTTCGCATCCTCAGGAGGTTCATCAAACGGCTTATCCAGGGATTTCGGATTATTGCCTAAATCTTTACGTGCAGGAAATGTCTCTTCATCGAAGGTCACATCACGAGACACAACGATACTTCGAGTGGCCGGGTTCCAGAAACGATACCCTTTGGAACCTAACTCATAGCCAACAAAGATCATCTCGACAGCCTTCTTGTCGAGCTTCCCAGCTCTTTGTTCCTTCTGCACATGCACATATGCCTTGCACCCAAATACCCTAAAATACGAAATGTCCGGGACTGTGCTATCCCAGAGAGTAATGGGGCATTGCCAGTTAAGGCGTCGCATTGGTTGCCGATTATAAATGTGAACCGCAGCGTCAACAGCCAATTGCCAGAAACCATGGCTTAGTCCAGCATGATGAAGCATAGACATAGCCTTCTCGACAATGGTCCGATTCCAGCGCTCAGCTCTCCCATTCTGTTGAGGAGAGTATGGCATCGTCTTCTGATGTTCAATGCCAAATTTGCGCAAATGTTCGGTAAATTCTGCAGAGGTATATTCTCCCCCTCGATCCGAGCGTACAGCTTTGATTTTCTCGTCAGTTTGGTTCTCAGCCCATGCCTTGAAATCATCGAACGCTTGGGTCGAATCATTCTTATGTTTGAGAAAATAGGCGCGGCCAAGACCGGAGTAGTCGTCGAGAAAGCTGATGAAGTAGTGCCATCCACCAATAGCGGTGGTACGCATAGGACCATCTTCGTCGGTATGAACAATTTCAAGAGGTTTTGAAGCTCTCTTGTCCGACGCGGGAAATGGCACATTCATGAGCGGACCATACCCATTCCTAACGGTACACCCGGGCTGCATATTCCCCATTGTCAACGGAAACCCGACGCCGGCCGGAGAAATGTGTCCGGAGGTTGCAAACCCACCGGCCGGCACCTGAGGTGCCCATTGTTAGCAGACTGGCCGGTCTTGTTTTGAACGGACCGGCCGGCAATAGGGCAAATCAACAAGTGTTACTGAACAATGGTCCGGAATTTAATCTATGGTTGTAAATGGACCGGCCGGAGAGTGGCAACCACATTTATAACACTCCAGCAGGATTTCATCCCTGTGTTTGGAAATAGTCCGGCCGGAATGCATCCCTATGGTTTCAAATGGTCCGGCCGAAGGTCATATACCTTTGTTTATGATGTACCGGCCGAAGGTAATATATCTAAATTAATAACACACCGGCCAGAGGTGATATACCTACATTGAGAAAGAACCGGCCGGTCATAATGTACCCACGCACAAAACAAACCGGCCGGCCATGACATAGTTTCACTACACATTGACCGGCCAGGCATAGCATGCCTATATCAGAAATGAACCGGCCGGTCATATGGAGCCTGAATGACAATTGCTCCCACCATCCTGGAAACATATTCATTGATGCACTGAGTTTTCTGGACCATAAATGCACTGGACCCAGGTTTTTTGGGCTTTGAATACATTTTTAGCATCCCCATAGATGCTCCCAATTTTCCAGGCACATGCAAACCATTCCAGAGCTTTAGAATCATCAAAATTGAGTTTTCTGGGCTGAAAATAGACCAAAACCAGCCTTTCTGGGCTGGAAATGCATCAGAACACATTTATTGAGCCTCCCAATCCACATTTACAACAGCTCTGAGCCTTATACACCAAGTCCGAGTATTTTACACAATTGCCGAGATTCCACAAAGTCCCGGCGCCGAGGATGCACCAAGTCCCGGCGCCGGGGGTGCACCAAGTTGCGGCGCCGCAAGTGCTCCAAGTTGCGGCGCCGCAGGTGCACCAAGCCTCGGCGCCGCACCGTCTCGTTAAGCGCCGAGAAACATCGCTCGGCGCCGAGACTTGGTGCACCTGCGGCGCCGCAACTTGGTGCACCTGCGGCGCCGCAACTTGGTACTACCTCGGCGCCGAGTTGTGCTAAACCTGAGGAATAATGGTGTTTCTAACAATGATCACAAAAAGATTACTGATGTTTGTTACACCAATGACCTTTTGTAGCTCATCTTATAGGGAATGTTAGGTTCATTAGGAAATCTCCTAATGACACTACAAAGGTTTATATGTGGTTACTTATAAAAAGTGATGTTTGTGTCTCATTGTGTAGGGAATGGTCTGTTGATAAGTAAATCTTCTATTGACACTTCAAGGATTTCCAATGGTCAGGCCGGTACAGCTGCTTTTCTTGTCTGGCTGGTAAGTAAACTTACTGATGACACTACAGTATATTGTATTCAATTTGTACATTTGTAGCTCATCTTATAGGAAATGTTAGGTTCATTAGTAAATCTTCTAATGTCATTACAAGGGTTTGTATGTGGTTACTTATAAAAAGTGAGGTTTATATTTCATTGTGTAGGGAATAGTCTATTGATAAGTAAATCTTCTATTGACACTTCAAGGATTTTCAATGCTTAGGCCAGTACAGCAGCTTTTCTTGTTCAGCCAGTAAGTAAGCTTATTGATAGCACTACACATATTTGTATCTCATCTTGTGGGGAACATTAGGTTGATAAGCAACTATTATGATGAGACTACAAGGATGTGTACATCTCATGCTGTTGTTATTGTACAGTAGACAGAACACTACATTACAAATGTGTAGTACTATGACAACTTCTGGCTGATCTAGCGCCCACACTAAAGTTGGTAGCACTTACAGCTTGGAAGATTAAGCTATGAGATTTGGCATATGTGCTGCTGGCTGTATGAACATACATTATAGCCACTAACCTAATGTGGGCAAAGAATACTGCCATGGTGAGGAGAGTAAGAAGGGAGCAGGGACATGCACAATTAGTGATATGTCTCTGAAGTGATAAGTTGTTGCCTTTATGTACAACTTTTGTGCCAACATGTGTCCAGATGAACAAGTACATTCATCAAGTCATGTATGGATGGGTTGCTGATACATGTTTCATTTATCCTCATACATTCTGCTATGATCATGATGGCCACACCCTACATATATATCTGTATGTAGAAACCAATCCCATATGAATATGAGACATTCTATAGAATTAACACATGTGGTCCTAGGTACATTGCTCTGCTACAGCCTACATTTGGAACTCACTGACTTTTCTGTAAATGCTAGACAGTTCAACCTTGATGCAGGGTTGTAACTATGATGTATTCTTTTGTGATAATCAACCTCTTGTTCCTACAGTGTTCCTTTGTCTTAATTTCATTATGTACTAATTAAATACAACACACTGTAGTGTCATTAGTGAGTTTACTTACCAGCCAGAACAGGAAAAGCAGCTGTACCGGCCTAACCGTTGAGAATCCTTGAAGTGTCAATAGAAGATTTACTTATCAACAGACCATTCCCTACACAATGAGACACAAACATCACTTTTTATAAGTAACCACATACAAACCTTTGTAGTGTCATTAGGAGATTTCCTAATGAACCTAACATTCCCTATAAGATGAGCTACAAAAGGTCATTAGTGTAACAAACATCAGTAATCTTTTTGTGATCATTGTTAGAAACACCATTATTCCTCAGGTTTAGCACAACTCGGCGCCGAGGTAGTACCAAGTTGCGGCGCCGCAGGTGCACCAAGTCTCGGCGCCGAGCGATGTTTCTCGGCGCTTAACGAGACGGTGCGGCGCCGAGGCTTGGTGCACCTGCGGCGCCGCAACTTGGTGCACTTGCGGCGCCGCAACTTGGTGCACCCCCGGCGCCGGGACTTTGTGGAATCTCGGCGATTGTGCAAAATACTCGGACTTGGTGTATAAGGCTCAGACCTGTTGTAAATATGATTTAGGGAGCTAAACACATGTGCAAGAATAGCCTTTGAAGCAATTCCAGCCTGGAAAACCTGGATCTGGTCTGTTTCCAGGCTAGAAAAGCTCATTTATGGTGCTTTTGAAGCATGGGCATGGTTTGTATGTACCTGATAAAATTGGGAGCATGTAAGGGAATGCTTGTCAATGTATTCCAAGCCCAAAAAACCTAGGTCCAGTGTGTTGATGGTCCAGAAACCTCAGTGCATCTTTGACAATGTGTTCTGGGATGTTTGGCACAATTATCATTCAGATTCCATATGACCGGCCGGTTCATTTCTAATGTAGGTTTGTTATGACTGTCCGGCCCATGTGTAGTGTAAGTATGTCATGCCTGGCCGGTCTGTTTTTGGTGTAGGTAGACTATGACCGGCCGGTCCTTTTGCAATGCAGGTATATGACCTCCGGCCGGTATGTTATAAATGTAGGTACATGAACTCCGGCCGGTGCATTATAAGTCAAGGTATATGAGCTCTGGGTGGTGCATTGATAATGTGAATGTATGAGCTCCGGCCGGTGCATCAATGATGTGGGTATATGAGCTCCGGCCGGTCTGTTATAAATGTAGGTGCCTGATCTCTGGCCGGTCCATTTACAACCATAGATTAAATTCCGGACCATTGTTCAGTAACACTTGTTGATTTGCCCTATTGCCGGCCGGTCCGTTCAAAACAAGACCGGCCAGTCTGCTAACAATGGGCACCTCAGGTGCTGGCCGGTGGGTTTGCAACCTCCGGACACATTTCTCCGGCCGGCGTCGGGTTTCCGTTGACAACGGGGAATATGCAGCCCGGGTGTACCGTTAGGAACGTAAAAGTACACTCATTGGGCTCGAAATGGAGCACGATGAGACTTGCCCCATTGACAACCTGCACAAGGAGACTTGTCCTTGTCACCGATAGAATCCACACCCTTGGTGTGCTTGGGTAGTTGACGGATAACTTCTTCAGACGAATGTCCGAAGCGTTGATGCCAAAGGCGAAAATTTGACTTGTCCGCAGACTTAGCCAATTGCGGTTTCATAATTTCCATGTGCAACATATAGAGATTGTTGAAGGGCGTGTGATGCGCCTCCATGATCTTGTTACCACGGATTCGGTCAGAACCATGCAAAATAGGTTGGTCAAAAATGACCATACGGCCTCCACCTTGAACAAGGGTGAAACCTGAACGTTCAATAACTCCAGTTGAAAATAGGCGACTAGACGCGGCAGGGATATATGCAACATTGGTGATAGTCGACACAATATGTTTCCCTTCAACATGCACAACACCTTTGATAGTGCCTTCACCGTAAGCTGCAATCTTACTCTTGCCGGCTGTGCTAAAAATCATGGGCTCCTCGTAAGGAGTGTAATCCCAAAAATCAGCCATGTCGTTGGTGATCGTCTTGGATGCACCAGAATCCATAATCCAATCAGTCGTTCTTCCTGACGCGGTGTTAGCCGCAGTATACCAAGAAGCAGTCATAGTATTCGCAGACGACGAGGAGGATTCTACAGTTACAACATTCGAAGAGTCCGACGCAGATGCAGTGTTAGAAGTACCAGAACTAGATTGACCATTTCCTCCGTTCTTTCCCTTTCCTTTGCCCTTGCCCTTGCCCTTGTTGTTCTTCCCCTTTCCGCCACCTTTATTCTGAGGGCGGAGATGCGGGTACTTGGTCCAACAATTCTCGCTACCATGGGCCCCACCGCAGTGATCGCAGGGGTCCTTGGATTTATGCTTGACCTGGGACGTCTTAGACGCAGACTGTCCCATACCGGACCGGCGAAGTGATTCCTCAGCAAGAATTTTGCTCTGGACCGAGTCGACCTTTAGATCTTTGAGGGTCTGCGTCGCCAGGAGCGCAGAGATCATCGACTGGTATGACTCTGGCAGCTTCGACAGAAGGAGAAGAGCCTGAGTCGAGTCACCGAGCGTAATTCCGCCACCACTAATCTCCTTGAGCCGGGTAACCAGCTTGTTGATCTGATCCTGCATTGGCTTGGAGTCAGACATTTCCGGAGATTTGATTAACGACTGGAAGAGAGACCAGACGTATGCCGTGTCGGGGGTGCCAAAAGCGGTTTTGAGCGAGTTCCACATGTCCTTCGCATCCTTGAGATCACCGGTGTCTTTCTCGAGCAGATGATGCATCGAGCGATCGGTTCTCATAAATAGAACACCCTGGGCACGGGCATTCTGAGTGGCAAAGTCCGCTGCGGGTGTGCCAGTTGCAGTAACGGCAGGCCAGGCTTGGATAAAAACCAAATAGCCGCGCATGGCGGCTGACCAATCAGCATATTGGGACGCTGAGGAAAGCTTGGGGACATTGTCAGGCTTGACGTCACCCATGGTTGCGGATAGGAGGATAAATTCGTCTTGTGAGACGGATGGTAGTTCTGGGGTAAAAACTTCGAAGGGTAATTCCTCGAAGAATGGAGATTGAGGTCTCGACTCAGGGAGCGGGACTAGGTGTTCAGGATATGGAGGTAACTCCGAAAATTCACTAGCAAATAGGAAATTCTCCTGCCAAGGAGCGACCGATATTCCAGTTGAAAATCCTTCTGGAACTGGACCTAGAGGTTGATCGTAGCGATGTGGGCAACTAGCGTCGTCGCAGTTAATCCACTGATCTTCTTCGACGTCGAAATGATAATCAAAGTTCTCCTCGTAGTCGTAGAGATGATGATGGTCGGTGCAATCGTACGGTGGAATTACTCCGTTCGATGCTTCACTATTTGAGTCTCGGTCAAATGTCTCTTCTTGAGACGAAGCCACAGTGTGATGCTTAAATTCTAGGGACGAAGATATACAGAAAAAATGCGACTACAATCGCTTATCTACCCAGTACAAGTAGTTGTTCTTGTACAAGTCCCCTACGTCCTTGATAATGCGGCCGAAATTCTGGCTAAGATTTATGAAGGAAATCTTTGCAATCAGCTCGCAGACAGAACAGATGTCGTTCAATTCGACTGCAGACCACGTGGTTCCTTCCTCCTCGATATTCGTCAGCACCCAGTTGAAACGCCTGCCAAAATCGTCCAAGTTATCCAACAAGGGAAGACGGGCGTAGAGGCGGTTACGGTGGCGATAGAGGGGCTGAAGGCGCTTCTGGACGGCAAGGAGACGCTTGCACAGGATCTCGACTTTGTCAGCGGTGGACTTCTTGCGGAAGTCGGACAGGAAGATTGGCTTGAGAGCCGTGGGAACGATGGGAGTTTCTCCGCTAAGACGCTCAATGAGCGAAGCCTTGGTCTCAGCAGCAGTGGCACTAGCGGCACGAGCAGCAGCGAGTTCGGCTCGGCGAGTCTCGGCGAGAGCTTCGGCAACGTCCGCTTTCTTCTGCAAATACAAGAGGTGCTGCTCCGGCGAGGTGCGGCAGGACTCCTTGGGAGGAATGGACGTGTCTACGCGGCCAGAGGCTTGGCGGCGGCGACGAGGGGTAGGAGCAAGGATGATGTCGATCTGGCGACGGACGGGTAGATGACCGTACAAATGCCGATGACGTACGGCGATGACGTTAGAGTCGTCTTCGTCAACGTCGTTTCTCTCACGACGAGACGGATGATAAACTTCGTAATTGCCTTTTCGGGCTGCCCTAGAGATGCGCTCAGACAAGGCCTTCGGCACTATGTCACGCAGCGACTTAAAAATAGTCCAACAAAGGACAAAAATTGCCAACTCACTCTTTCAAGAGTTTAGCTTTGGAGCGCGCAAAGAGGGGTGCAGGTGATCAAAGAATCAGAGCGCAGGGCTCATAACCTGTTGAAGAAAGAGGTTTTAGGCTTAGTAAGCCCAGTGGCAGTGAAGGACTAATGAGTGAGTGAACAGACCAGTCCCAAAGGGAAGATCCTATGCTGGCAGGCAGAGGAGAGGACGAAGGATCGTTATCATTACAGGGCAAACCAGCCCAGTATATATACACATTTGATACAGGTCACATGCTGTATCAGTGGTTCATCAGTAAGCACTAAGTCCGAGGTTTTGGGGATATGAGTAAGCTGGTAAGCAGCATGAGTAAGCCAAAACTCGGAGTTTGATGTGGAGAGATATATGAAACGTGATGGAACATCAGGAATAATATGAGACATGATGGAACATCAAAGAGTGATATAGGACGTGATGGGACATCAAGGAATGATATGGAACGTCATGGAACATCAAGGAATGTCGTGGAATATCATGGAATGATCCGGACTAAAGTCACATGACGTAATCTAGGCAAAGTCCATCAAAGAACGTATGTAATCTGACATCGCAGAACATAAGTCCATATCCGTACATAACTGATAAGATAAGAACACTGAAAACTCGGAAGTTCAACACTCAAGTTCTGGAATCAAGATGCATTTCAACGTCGGAACGCCCCTGAGATCTTGGATACCCTCCACGCACGACCAGGATACCGGGATACCCAAGGCCGACTCGTCGCGGGAAGATTTGATACCGCCCTGGTCAAAGAGAGAGAGGGTGGGCATATAGGAGTCACTGGTATGTCAAAATTATATCGTTGAGCGATGGCAACGAATGACAGAACTGTAGGCTACCGCGTGGGCCAAGTTCGCACCGTATTCTCGCTGTCAAAGAAAGCCCACCAGAATGTATTCCAAGACCACCCCGACGCGCCCTCCCATTTTGTCTACCTGGAGTGGTTCAGCCGCTTCAAACCACGTCCCGAGCCCAACCATCTCTTCTATCGCATACAGCGTTCGCGTACGCAAGACGGTGAACGTTTCGCTGCAATAGTACCTTTGGAGAGTTTGCATCGCAGTGCTCATCTCATCCCAAAGTTTGGAGCTGCGCAGCCTCCGGAATGGACGAGCAACAACGTTCTCGAGCTCTGCGAGACATTCTACGTTAATTCATTCACGGACAGGCACACGTACATTACCGTAGTTTAATCACATAGGATTGTTCATCTCTTACGAAGATAGATGTATGTTGAGGCACAACTGCCCTGCGCGAATGCACATAGTGTAACGCGAGTGTGATTGAGTACCCACGTGTCACGCAGTGTGACTCGTGAGTGCGTAGCCTTAAGCTACCTCCAGCTCTCAGCTTGAGGATTTAAGCAATGAGAAGTTAGATGTATGTTCTGTGAACATAAAACAGGCATTCGGCGTGCAGAAAGGTCTTCGGGAATGCGGTCTTGCGCGAGGAGTTGAAAAACTTTGCTGCAATCGCGCGCCACCGTGCCGGCGCTTGTTGTGTTGGCTACGCGCGTGACTGAGACTCCCCCTCACTGATAGCGACCACCGCCAACTCTCCTCAGCCTTCGCCTCACTGCTTTTATCTGCTCAACTGGGTCTGCGGGACGCTGCGTGTTGCGCTTGTGCCGCAACAGTGCATTAACGTTGACCCCGCGGTGTATCACATCTGTCGTTCCCGCAGACCCTCCCTCCAAATCGACAGGACGACTTGGTTCATTGACTCGAGGCAGTTTGCCGCTACCTACGACAACATACACTCTACATTATACCGGTCTGAACTCTTGAAACCGATCAACCGCGAGGCTTCCGCGTGGAGAAGGAGAGCTGGAATGGCCAGGAGGAGGAGAAGATGATGATTCGGGCGAGCCGGTAGTGAGTAACTCCTAGGACGTCTTCTTCATGCCGGTGTTGACAGCACTCGTCAGTCAATGCTGGCATGTTATACACCCTTCTGATAGCTTTCTGACCCCACCTCGCCCTTGGACCCGCGCTTCCTGTCGCCGACCACCTGCGCCTCCACGCCCATGGTGAACCAGCCGCACAGACCTTCCTAACACCGCTTCTCGCTCCTGAGCGATGATCGCAGTGCCCAGCAACACATTTGGACACCCTTCACAGTGGCGGCCACCTACCCCCTCTCTGGTCGGCAGATCCGCCCCCGCGCAGCAGCGCAGTTGAGGACGCTCGCCTGGCACAGCCGGTCAGCGCTCCCACTGGTGGCTCTCACGTCGGCCTCCACCGTTCCATTGAGGGGTACCCAGTCTCCAATCCATTCGGCGGGTGTTCTACATCCCACACTCGCAAGTCTCAGCCCACTGCTCTCGAAGGTGAACATCCAAAGCTGCGCTCACCCCGCAATCGTCTTCCAACCGCCCCATCGCCTAGGTCCCTTGCAAGCCTCATCGAAGACACCGGCATGCGCAGCTCTTCATCGCCAGCCTTCATAATGCCACTGCGACCGGAAGCTGAGCCTAGGATTGGACACACCTAGTCACTGCGGTGCTCCAGCGCGTTCAAGTTATGGCGCCGTATTCGTTGTTGGCCTAGAGGCCTGAAGCACCTCTGGCAGTACAGTTGGCGACAGCACTCTGCCACGAATATGCGCGCGGGTAGTCTATCGCGCAACGAATGCTGCTGCCCTGCGCGGCCCCATTCAGCGCACACACGACCTGGTCCTAGTCGTACAGCCACCTACTCGGATAACCCCAACGCGCGCGCGATACCCGTCCCGCTTGTCCTCATCCCCACGTCCCTTCCAGTGCCCTCCCGCCATCTGATGACCACCCCGCAATTGAGGACCGGCCTCGGAAGTGACGAATCAAGGACGAGGGTCAGGCCATGCGAACGAAAGGAAAGCAGGGGAACGAATGCTGAGTGCGAGTCATTGGTGAGCCATCGGCTTGCCCATGTACTTTTGCCCCCATTGTCGCTCTCTGTGTTGCTCGTTTGCGCCCTCTAGCTCTCGCTCTCGTGCGCTCGAACCCGTGCCCTACCTATGCCCTTGTCGCGGCAGTGACTGCTCATCGTGACAACGAAGCCAATGCTCGAGCTCTGGCTGGCCCACGACACCCTAGCACTGATCGCTCCCCTCCACTGCGGCCTGCATCGAGGTCGTACCACTCCACGTCCGGGTCTCTCGGCGCGCCCTTGGGTACCCGCTTCCTGCCGCCAAGCGCCTGCGTCCTGCAGAATCACGCCAGTCCCGGTTGCACGCTCGCCGCCCAGGAGACCTCTCAATGTTGAAGATGCCACACCGTATCCCTCCCGCAACCTTCGTCAACACCACGCCCATCGTGCACTCCCTCGCAATGCGTACCCCTCATGCCTCCCCTGGTGCGACCATCGTCGAAGTCGCTGTTGCGCCCTCGTCCTTGCACTTTCGGTTTCATCCCAACCCTCGCTCTTTGCTCCCCTATACCCTTCATCCTCGTCCTCACGCCTTCACACTCTCCCTCTTGTTCTTGCCCGCTCACCATCTCGCTTCTCTTCTATCTCGTCCCAGTCTTTACCCGAGCGCCCATATTATCGCCATTGCCCTTGCGCGCTCGCTCTCGCCATTGTGCTCCGCCATTGCACCTTCGCGGATGTCTCGATTCAGCAGTCGCGCCTACCTCGGTCGGGCCCGCAGCACGAGCCTGACGTGGCGCGACGAGGAGCGGTTATTGTAGGATGGAGGCGGGCAGAGGGTTGGACTCGTTGTACTCGGGCATGGGGTAGGAGGGGTCGAAGAGAGAGTTTTGTGGCTCCTGTGATGCGGATATGCCAGGGCCTCCTTGCGCAGGCCGGCGCTGCATGCATGATATCATGGTACAGAAAGGTAGACACGGAGCGATGTAATGATTTCTTGTGGAAGGAAATCGGCGTCAACGTCATGTATGCATTTGTCCTGTGTAACATGTAGATTGTTATTGTACTGTGCACTGAGCCTTTGACTTGACCGGTGACCCCCGAGCCCTTCATGAAGCGTGGGAACACTGGTCCAAGTAGACTTGCGACCCATGCAGTTTTACATTGGTCGCGCAGCGACCTCTTCATGACCCAGCCCACCCTAGCGACAGCGGTCGACATTCGGCATGTCTACACTGAAGACACACACACGATTACCCTACTGATTCTCCCGGGAGGGCCTGGCCCAATCAACCTGGTACGTTGTCAATGTGGTGACATATCTGCATACTCTGACTGGTGAATGACACGCCCGTCCCGATCTTGTAGACACTGAACCTCTGTCGCCACGACACGTCTCTGAATACGAGCAGACCCGCCGTGACCTCTCTCATACCCAGCCAGAGCCGTGTTCAGCGCAGCCGGGCATTCTCAGACGCCGCAACCGTTCCCGATTCCCAACCTCCGGAGTACCCGCTCGAGACGCAGGATATTGACGCGGTCCTCATCACAGCTCACTCTGATCCACTCGCACCTCTACCTTCACCTCGCGCAATGCGAACCTTCTCAAATGCGACAACCGAACTGGATTCCGAGCCAGCTCTTGGACCAACCACATCCCCGGGCGGGCAAGTCACTGGCACGCAGAGGCTCTCTCCGCTGGCGATAATGGGGCCCGAATCAGAACCTGCAGAGTCCCCAGCTTCGAAAATCCCAGACCAGCTTGCCACGTCAGCCCTGCTCGGGCTCGGGATAAATACACCGCGCACGTCGTCGTCCGACGCCCCCGAGTCCTCCGTTCCCAATCGCACGGACTGGCCGGTTGACTCACAAGGCCTCCCGACTACCCAGGCGATGTACGAGATGTTCGGCGTGCCATGGCCCCCTACAATGGAAGACGGTGGGATGAGCAACGGTTGGGACTCCGAGTCGGAGGATGGGCAGGAGGATGGGTGCGTGGGTGGACACACAGGCACAACCTGTTAAGTCGAACCACAAAGATATTCACGGCACTCTCGGTGAGCCATTTACACGCACTTACGTTGATTGAAACTGATTTGCGCCAAGCACAGGAAATACGATATTTGGTCCGAGTCTTTCCTGTCGCTGCTTCAACCGCGACGGCATGCTCAACGCGGCTATCGCGTTCACGGGCGAGGGTGTTCACGCACTGTTGGTTGACAGCTGGCTCACATTATCAAACGTGGTCATGGAATGCGGTGCGCCGGCCTGTCACCTTCCCCATGAATGAGACCTCCTCGAGTTGTATGAGCGCGCTGCAGCGCGAGCTGGTGCGAAGCCGCTGCCATCAGGCTGTGGGCCATACACTGGGCTCGGGACGGCCCGGGGTACTAACTTGAGGGACGGTCGAGTGGAGAACTGCGCGACAAACTGGAACAACAAGGGATGATGCATGGGCAGCCCAACGGCACAGGTATACTTGACGAGCACGGTGACTCGGAAGCAGGGCTACTAGTACATCTGCAGCTCGGCGCTCAGGTGCCGCTAGGTTCTCGATCACGACACCGACGACTCAGTCTAAAAACGCCAGCAATGACTCGATGAAGGTAACCGTAGTCCCCGGCTTCCCTGTGACATTGCATGACGGTTAGCATCTGTAGAGCGATCGTATACATGTACGGTTGTGTATTACATAGTAAGAGTAGTATATTGGAATGCTTTCGGATCAATGCCACTGAGACGTATAATATTTCTCGCATCATACTGCCAGTGGCAGGATAGTATTTTCGGAATGCATTCGTGAGGTATTCGCACCAGTTTACAAACCGTTCACGATGAGAGGCACGCGGCGGCGATTTGGCGCCGATTTGCGCCACATTCGCGTAGGGGGGGTTTCCTGATGGCCGAAGCTCTCGCGAAGCGCAAGGCGCTCCTCTCACGATGGATCGTCGATTCTGGCGCGTCGTCTCCGATGAGCTCGCAGCGCGAGTGGTTCCTCAACTACTCGCCGCTCGCATCACCCAAGCGCGTCTGGCTTGGCGATAAACGCTACATCCTCGCAATTGGGATCGGTCAAGTCGCGCTCACAGCAGACCTCGGGAATGGGAAGAAGCGTACTGCCCTCCTTCAAGGCGTGTACCACGTACCTGACCTGAATGGCAACCTACTCTCGGTCTCGCATCTCACGAAGCGCGGCTATTCGGTTTTTTTCACCACGTCCGGCTGTCGCATCCAGAATACCGAGGGCCAGCTTATCGGCACTGCACACGACAAGGACAACCTCTACGTCTTTGACGGCTCACCTCATGTCCCGGAGCGTGCATACACGGCAACACTTGACGCAGCCTCCACTCTTGCCGACCTTGCCTCTGATCCCTCACCCTCACTCAACCTCTTCATGGCCAAGACCGAGACCTCTCGCGCCAGTCTCGACACCTGGCACCGACGTCTTGGTCACATCAATGTTGACTCCGTCTTGAAGATGGTGAGGAAGGGGATGGCGAAAGGGATGGAGATTGTTGGCGAGATGAAGCAGCGGGTCCAGGCCCAGTGCAAGCCATGCCTCGTCGGCAAGGCAAGCCGCAAGCCAATCGCGAAGGAGTCGGATGTCGAGAACCCACGCATATTCTACCGCGTGTACTCCGACTACTGCGGACCAATGCCAACCACCGCCCGCACTGGACACAGGGGGTTCAGTACGCACATCGATGCCAAGGCTCACTACGCCGACCTTCGGTTGCTCAAAACCAAGGACGATGAGCTGGTCGAGTTCAAAGCGTACAAGCAGCACGCGGAGAACGTAACAGGCAAGCGACTCGCTTTTCTACGGACAGACGGTGGCGGCGAGTACACCTCGACGGTTTTCGAAGCCTATCTCAAGGCTGAAGGGATCCATTATGAGATAACAAATCCCTACACGCCGCAGGAGAACGGAGTCGCTGAGCGGATGAACCGCACCATCGTTGAGATGGCACGTTCCATGTTGAACGACGCTGGGTTGCCGCCATCCTACTGGGGAGATGCAGTCCAGCATGCGGTGTACATCATCAACCGCACGCCGACGCGTGCGCTGCCGGACAACATCACGCCATACGAGGCCTGGACAGGCAACAAGCCTTCCCTCGCTCACCTTCGGATTTTTGGCTGCAAGGCCTACGTCCACATCCCGAAGGAGAAGCGTAAGAAACTCGACGCGAAATCAGTTGAGTGCACCTACTTGGGTTATGCGGAGCACCGCAAGGCTTATCGCCTGCTGCACTGCCCGCCACACGGCGGAAAGCCCACGGTCATCGAGTCGCGCGACGTCTACTTTGATGAGGGCACCGAGGTTGAGCCGAGTCGCGTCGTCATTGACGTCGATCTGGTCGAGGCAGCCCCGGAGTCCACGCCACTCAAGGACGAGGCACAGACGCCGGAGGCTAGTCCCAGACGGTCACCTCGCACGACGGTGGAGGATGTACCTGATGAGGACGATGAGCCGCCGAAGCTCCTGCCTGATCCGGACGACAGTGACGACGAGGACGAACAGCCGCCCGCGCCAGCCGCGCGACCTCCATCGCGCCCAACTAGCACCGCGCCCTCACGCCGCACAGCCGCGACCTACACGCCCGTAGGCACGCCCTACCCCAATCCAGCACCGCCACCATCACTCCGACGCTCGCTTCGCACGCGCAAGGAACCGGTTCGAGACGACGACCCACGTCTCAGGGTTTCGTCATACAATCGGAAACCGAAGGAGCGGGAGGTGCAGGAGACGGGGGATGACTTGGAGGGTTCGAGTGGGCGCGTGGAGGATGCAGGTGAGCAGCCATCACGCGATTCAGTGGGCGCGGATGAGCACGCAAGGCGCGCGAACGTCAGTGACGACCCGAGGACCTACAAGGAGGCCATGTCACGCCCGGACGCGGAACGCTGGAAGGCTGCGTGCGCGGAGGAGCTGCTCTCCTTCACCAAGGCAGAGCTGTACGACGAGGTGGAGCGCCCGAGGAACCGCAAGGTCGTCGGTTGCAAGTGGGTCTTCAAGATCAAGCGCGGCCCTGACGGCGAGATCGAGAAGTACAAGGCTCGACTCGTTGCGAAGGGCTTCACGCAGGTCGAAGATGTCGACTACGACGAGACGTTTGCACCCACCACCAAGTTCTCGACCATCCGGACCCTCCTCGCTCTTGCTGCTGCACACGACCTCGAAATCCATCAGATGGACGTCAAGTCGGCCTTCCTCAATGGCGACCTCGACGAAGAGATCTATATGGCTTGCCCGCCAGGATTCGAGGATCGCCCCGACATCGTCTGGCGACTCAGAAAGGCACTCTATGGACTAAAACAGGCCAGTCGTCAATGGTACAAGAAGATCCGTGCCGAATTCGAGTCTCTCGGATTCAAACGGAGTGATGCTGACCATGGCGTCTTCTACAAGGAAGTTGACGGCTCGCTGGTGATCGTTGCACTCTACGTTGATGACATGCTCATCTTCGCAGACAAGGTCTTGGCAATCGACTCGGTTAAAGCATCCCTCAAGGAAAAGTTCGACATGACGGACCTTGGGGAAGCTCACTGGGTATTGAACATGGAGATCATCCGAGACCGCCCAAACCGAACGCTCGAACTCTCGCAACGCCAATACGTCGAGACGATCCTCGAGCGATTCGGCATGACCGACTGCCGCCCGGTCAGTACACCCATGGCGGCAAATCAAAAGCTTGCGAAGCTCGACGAGGCCGAGGTCGACGAGAAGCGTTACCAGAGCGCACTCGGTTCACTCATGTATGCGATGCTCGGGACGCGCCCAGATCTCGCCTACGCCATTGGCACGCTGAGCAAGCACGCAGCTACACCCGGAGAGGAGCACTGGACTGCGCTTATGCGCGTGTACCGCTATCTGCGCAAGACGACGGACGTGCGACTCGTCTATTGCGGGAACTCGCCAGGTGAGCTCGTCCAGGGCTATGTTGATGCCGACTGGGGGAGCGATCCTATGGACCGCCGCTCGGTCACTGGCCACGTCTTCCTGATCGCGGGAGGTGCTGTCTCGTGGTCATCAAAGAAGCAAACTTCGACTGCGCTCTCAAGCACGGAGGCTGAGTACATGGCCATGTGTAGTGCTTCGAAAGAGGCTGTATGGCTACGACTGCTGCTATCAGAGCTAGGGCAGCTGTCCCCTCTCGCTACCCTCATCCTCGTTGACAACCAGTCTGCTATGGCTCTCGCAAAGAACGCCACGTTTCACGACCGAACGAAGCACATCGCCGTGCGCTACCACTTCATCCGAGAGAAGATTGATGACGGGGAAATCCGCGTGGAGTACGTGCCGACTGGAGACCAGGTCGCTGATGTCCTTACGAAGGCACTTGCCCGCGAGAAGCACGAACGCTTTGCGATGGGTATGGGTCTTGTCACGTCCGCCGCCCGCTGAGTGGGCGTGTTGGAATCCAGGTACGGGGTTCATCGGGAGTCGGAACGTGTCGCGGCCGAGAGAGTCGGCGGCGCGATGATGGCGCGATGTGCGCGCACGGACATTCTACGTACCTGAAAGATCGATTATCATTGTCACTAAATACCGCAGTCTGCCACGACGCACCTCAGTCTTTTCGCCTCGCACGAGAGACTGAGGTGAGTAACTTACTTTACATTTCTTTTGCCTGATACTGATGTACCGAAGACGTTCCTTATTCTCTCTTACTCTAGGTACATTCAATATAGTCTTTTCGCCTCGCACGAGAGACTGAGACGTTCCTTATTCTCTCTTACTCTAGCCTACTGCGTGCTTCAACCTTCAAAAGGAAGGGGTTTGTATTATATACAGTGTCTTCAAAAAGGGGTGAGGATGATCTGTCCGTACTTTCTCCAGAAGCCGTGACCCTCAAATAATAGCAGCGGGTTCTACACACTCCCGATGACATTGGTATACCCGATTGGGCCAACGGCGCTTACCCTAGCCGTACCTGCGCATTGAAATAATCCATGCTTGATGTGCGATGCAGAGTAAATGGGGCACCGTACACGTGTAAAAATAAATGCTAGATGTGTATGGAGGCCTGTTTCAAGCTGCAGGTGAAGCATGTCGTACTGTGCAGGCGAGGGTCTTGCTGCTTAGTCAGCTGCATCCCGTAATCAAACCTGCGAAGGGAAAGTGAGACGCTTGCTGTCAAAAGACCTTCGCAGATACACGAATAGCTCCTAGGTGCGGTGGTATGCATATAATCTTATGCATCTTCGTGCAGTTGTACGCAGGGAAAGGATAACTTGTCGCGGTCGAGTCACAGACGTCACGCGCGCGTGACGACGGCAGTGCGCTGTGGCGGCATGCTCTGGAAACGCCTGGCGGCAAACCCCGAGAACCGTCACCTCCAGCTCCGGGCTCCAGCTGGAGCTCCAGAGCTCCAGCAACTTTGAACGTAGCTAGTACTATACAGAGCGGGAGGAGGAGGGAGGAGGAGGGAGGAGGACTGTTTCCATGTGCACGTGGCAACTGGCGCCGTACGCGACTCGGACACTCGACAGCGCTCACTGCTGCCGGTGAGCGCGTGGGCGAATACGCGACTGTACGCGAGGCTAGTGCGTACTAGGCGCACAGGTAGCCAAGGTGCTCGGGCGAGTGCGTGTCGAAGCGGGAAAACAGGCGCATTGGATAACAGACGCATTGGATAGGCGTGAGCATGGGCGTAGTTACAGACAAACAGAATCAGGTAAGCATTCGAGACTTGTTCAGATCCACACAGTGCGTGATCTGTGTTGTTCAGTTCAGTCTGACAGCAGTGACAGTGAGCGGCGAAGATAGCTTACGGATTCGATCCGAGAGATGGCTCAGCTCTCCGTGTTTACCCACCATCGCACCTGTTCTTCAATCCCTGCCTCGGCAACCATGTCCACGATGGCATCAAACTGCTTCTGCGTCTTTCTGCGTCGGTATCTTCTCCTCCGCGAGTCATCATGACACAGCAGAGTCAGCACAAGTAATGCTGTTTCAGGCTCCACTGCATTTGACTGGGAGATGGCTCGCGTGATCGCGTCTGGTGCATTGCCGTCTAATCAACAGACACTGCGCTCGATTTCATGTCCAATCCGTGTGTTGATCGTGGCCTTGACATCAACAAGCACCTTCAAGATATTACAAGATGGTCTGCTTGGATGTAGGTGCTCCCACAACCGCGTCCACTGGTCATCGGAAAGACCAAACCCGAGGCAAAACTTGCCAGTGTACTTCTGGTCCTCAGAGAGCGGAGGAATCTGAGGTTCCGCGGGAAGTTGAACCAGCGGCCCTGCCTTGAGTTCTTGTTTCCGAAGTATATCCAATTCTGTCTCCTCATCTAGTACTCCGAAGCATGGTATACCGGCGCTGCGACGAACGCGTGGCGATTTGCCCTCCGGCTTCTGGTCCAGCGACGTCACGAAGGTGTCCTGATATGCAACGTTGAGTCATGGCTCGCTCGCAGAGAAATGAATCAAAGTCTTACTTGCTTAGATTCGACGTTTCTGTCTTGGTGCCCGAGCATGGTAGATTTGGTCCGTGTTCTGTACATCCGCGAGCTGCGCGTATTGAAGCGCCGTCACGTCGACTTCGCGGAGGAGGAGGAGGTATTGGTATACGCATACGACATGGCTACGACGCCTCTACGCCAGGTACGTTCAGTATATACGTAGCCACGAGACCATTCAACGGAACGGAAAAATTTACGGTTGGTGACTGAGTTGTGAAGGTTCAAACGTCGGGAGCTCTCATCAGGGGAGACGAACCTACGTCGTAGCGCGGCGTGTCCTTGTCCATGCCTCTGTGAGAGCGGGATGTAAGTTATTGAGAAGACGGAAGAACAACGGAACGGTGAAGGCGATTGCGACATAGTATGGAGAGCTTCATCGAGGTAGCGCCTGTAGAATGCGCGTCATTCGTCGACGAAGCATTGTCGCGGCATCTCGGAGACATGCTCAACATTGCACCGGCTGACGTCTGGACCCACGAACAGCTAGCCTCGACCAGCAAAGAAGAGAAGCGTACGCCCAGCAGCAAGGGTCTTACCGGAAAGGTGCTCGTTATCAGTCAGCGTCTCATCAATGCACACCATGCCCTTGCGAGAACGACGGTCAGCCGCGCAAACCGAACTCAATGACCTGGGACCGTGAGTAGCATGCGAAGATGAACGTTTGTAGGCGTATGACTCTACCGAGAACCCCTTGCGTATCTTGTACGTATGCGCCTTCACCAGCCTTGCACATGGGTGGGGATCGCGTGCGAGTTAATATTACGCGTGGCATAGCACAAATATCGGGGAGTCAGCCGAGCCCGTCGTCAGACGACCTGCGAGGCAAACGACGAAAGCAGGCCCGACTCGGAGTGTTCAACAGGGGCTACCGCGCCGCCACCGCCGCGCTAGCAGCATGGCTGCGCGGTGTGGCTGGACACTGAGTGCCCGAAAAGGCAGGCAAGTATGAAGGAGCCCGACACGTGCATAGATCGCCAGCCAATGAGAAGCGGCGGAGACGGTCGTGCGACGAGGAACGGGCGGCGAGAGGCGCGCGGTGGGCAGCCCGGCGCACGTTCCTCTGCACACGACCAATCGTCGGAGGCACGATCATGGCCGTCGCACCAGACGTCGCCCACGGATCGCGCTTCTCGCATTGTCGCCCCGTCAGCCGCCTATAAACCACCCACCCCGCGCCTCCAACTCGCTGTGGCACCCTGTCGTGTGCCCACTCGCCCCGCCCCCGCCCCCGCGTCCACGACCCGACTCGCCATGACCGGACTGAAGGACGCCAATGTGCCGTATACAGGCAGCTGCAACCCGCCTCGCCGTGCGAAGCGTCCGCGGACTGACACCGGCAACCCGACGCCCGGTGCAGCACACGACGCGGCGTCGTCGCGGACCCCCGCGAGACGTGCACGGCCGGCCATCCTCCCCAAGAGCCCTGTCCCTGGGACCGGCTCACCGGACGCACTCGACTCGGACTCTGGTGACGAAGACGACTACGAGCCTGACGCACGCGCCACCACCCAGCGCCGCCGCGGCCGCAAGCCCGGCGCCTTGTCGCGCTCCGCCCGCGAGTCCCTCCGCAAGCTCAACCACTCCCGCATCGAGAAGGCCCGCCGGACCAAGATCAACGAGACACTCGCGACGCTTAGCGCACTCGTCAGCGAGGCCGACCAGGAGCAGGCCAAGGACGCAGGCGAGAAGCCAGGCGAGACGAAGACAAAGGGCAGGACAGAGGAGAAGGAGTTCAAGCTGGACGTGCTCGTCAAGACCGTCGTGTACGTCCAGGGGCTCATCGACAAGGTGCGCACGCTCGAGGCCGCCGCGGATGCCTGCCTGCATTGCTCCCGTGATCGCGTCGCGGGATCTACGCCCGATCTGAAGAGGAAGCGGCCCGCAGAGCAGCACGCCAATAGGGACGTCGACATGACCGTCAACGTTGACGAGGAGGACGAGGAGGACGTCGAGTACGCCGGGGACGACGAGAAGGGCGACGGCGAGCCTGAACGAGACTCGCCCACTGGCACGCTCCCGGACCACTCCCCCGCCCTTACCGCCACGGCAGCTGCGGCTTCCACCTCCACCCGCGCGACAATCTCACCGCGCCTCCCGCCAATCGCAGCGTGGCTGCCACACCCCTACGTCGATCCGAGCTGCATCGCCGCCATGTCAGACTCTCGCGCGGCCGCGACGTCGCAGCTGCCCTCGCCCCCGCTCTCCGGCCCCTTCCGCGCTGCCAGTAGCGTCGCCGCGCGGGACGTCCCCGCGCTCGCGCTCCCGGCACCCGCGCACCCTATCGAGCCAGTCAAAAGGGGAGCGAACGCACCTGACGAGCGCCGCCCGGGCGCGCACTCGCGCTCGCCGACGTGGACGCCGGAGGACGAGACGGCCGCGTCGCTCCTGCTGCAGATGAGCAGCTCGCCGGCGTCGATGCGGGCGAGCTCCGCCCCGATGAGCTCTGCGTCGAGCGTAGGTACGTCGGCGTTTGCGCTCCCGAAGGCAATGGAGGCGCCGGCGCGCAGGATGTCGATGACCCGGGGTGGGGAGCAGGGTCTGGCCAAGGGAGAGAGCGCAAAGCAAAGCGCGAGGATGAGCGTCCAGGCGGAGACGCCGAGTTCACTGTTGGGCTTGGGACGGTGAGTGGCTAGTTGCGATGTGAAGAGAAAGACGCACGGACAGATAGAGGAAACGGCGAAGGTGTACGAGTAGGTGAACTTATTACTTTCTATGGCTTCCTCCTCTCTAGAGATCCGCCAGCCTGAGCTTGCGGGTCGTGTACGCGTACGGGTCTGCGTTCGTTCGATACCATGATGTGGATTGTTCCTAGTGTGCAATCGCTGTACTTGTTGTATGCTAGATGGGAGAATGAAGATTTGGGTTTGTTATTTGGATGGGATAAAAACGTCAGGCCTTCAGGTCCCAGAGGTGTCCGTCTGAGTCTCCTTGTAATGGATGGTCTGGGTGAGCTCGAACTTGGTAAACGTCGATCACATGCGCGGGCTCGGTTAAAGTTGCGCACTGCACTGACTTCCGAGTGCGTTCCAGAGGGGCTGTACTAGTGATACAGAATATCCACAAGGATTTGGTAGACTGAGTGCTAATTCGAGTCGTTTCAGAGGTGGGCCGCGAGGACTCGGAGGTACCGCGGCTTACCGCGGTCACGGTAGCCTTACATAATAGTAATAGAGTGTTCCGGTACGTAGCTTACATAAGCTCGGGCATACCGGATCCCCCTCTCGTCCGAGTCGATCATAACTTGAACTTGTACTGCGACCTAGGATTCCCTAGGATTCCTCTATGATGTTAAAGTACTGATGCGAGACCCGTTCTACTGCACAGGTACAGTATCGATGCCTCCTTTACGAGGCGTATGTTCTAACTATGCAGTCCGAAGCTTCGATGTCGAACTTCATACTTGTCACCAGGAGGCATGGAGGATCTCACCGAGATTCATCTAACTGTCCGTCATTCCTCCAAATCATGTCAATGATCGTTCACTGCAAAACGGTCACCGCTGAGTTCCGTGACAAGGCGGCAGGGTATGCTAAAGGAAAATGACAGGACCCACCTGGTGAGAAGTCAATTCTTGGTCGCTCACACTTACAGCGCAAGCCCAGATTTTGAATTTGATGACTTACCGCCGCTCAACCTCGCTCAACCAGCCTGGACGGTATTTGTAAGGGTATGTGCTACAGATATATGCTTGCATACGTGTGGTGATATTCGCGATTCTTTCATGTGTGTGTACCAGGCAAGTACCAGGTGCTTCGCTCCCTAAGAGCGCAACATATCCGTCCCCATGGCATTACGGTGGAGAGATCGAACTGAGCATCCACATCTCATGATTGAACCACATTACTGTTGCTGCAATGCATTCGCAGTGCCATTACGGGGATAGAACCCTACTCAAGGCTGTGTCTGGTCATGCAGCAAGCATCAGATCGAGACGTCGAAGTGTCGAGGAGTCGCCATGTAAGTAAACGCCTAGACTCGAAGACTTGTACCCTCTACCCCAACCTACTCATTCTCTCCCTTAGACCATCGTTTGAGTTGTCAGCTATATACGGTTGCGCAGAGGTGCGTGAACGACGGCACGACAACATGCGATGTTGACGCTCTTCTGTTGGCGTACTGCGCAGACGTGACCATCCATTCCTTGCAGTACTTTGTCCCCCCATGGCGGTGTCCACCCCCAGCGACATATTTTTCTTGTCGTCCACAGATGGTGACTCGGAAACTCAGAGCTACGTTGCAACCATTACCCTCGAATGGGTTGTCGCCGGGACTTCGTCATTATCCTCACCGACATCTCCCGTCACCACAACGAAGGCTGACATCGTCACAAGGACGATGACTTCGGTCTCTATGGCTACCTGGACAGTCACGGAGTCTCGCAACTCTTCTACTAGTATCCCGATGCCTAGTATCATCATGATGCCAGCCGGTGGTCTCAGTGCTGGTGAGGTGGTGGGAATAGCCGCAGGAGTTGTACTCGGAACGCTCTGCATCTTAGCGGCGATGACCGCCTGCCTACTATGCTACAGGCGCGAGAAGGCCCCGTCGCACAAGTTCGTGCCGCTGCGAGATACAGGCGAAGGTCCGTGAGCGTCCCACATCTCTGAATCGCATCCGCACTCATGCCTCCACCAGACCCTCCTGGTGACTCGTCTGTATTCCTGCACATCGCACATAATAAGTCGTCGTGGATGCACGATGAGGCAGAGCCCCTGGCCTGGAGTGTGCCCACGGAACCCCGCACGCCACTCACTCCTGCCTCCCCAGTGCCCTCTGACTTGCTCACGACCGCGACCCTTGGCTCGCCCACTGAACCTGCACCCTGCGTCCGACCTGTTCAGGAACGCCAGGAGGTACCAGACGAGCAGCGTAGGGCCAAATCGCATCCCCAGTCCCGCGCGTCTCGCATGCTGTCCTGGATCGACCCTCGACGGTCTTTGCGAATGCTCTCTGACGCTGACCGTGCTTCTGAAGTGGACTCGGGTTTGCGGTTCAGGTACGAACTGCGACGAGTTAGTACGCCATCGGCGTTGGTGTACACGCCTCCGCCCTATTCTGAAGCTTAATGAGTTGCGTTGCGTTCTGGTGTTCTATGTAAATAAAGCAGTCCGACAGATATATGTTGTATACATCAAGTATACATTAAGCAGAAGTGTGGCCACGATAGTGGTTGGAAGGTCAAACGAGTGGTACCCGCAAGTGTCACAGTAAGGAAAAATAGTGATGATAGTAATATACAGTAACGAAGAATGCTTACATCGTGATGATACCATCAGTAACGCACTCTTACCCGAGTTATAAGCGCCCAGTGCATCTCAACAATTTCGTGGACAACGCGGCTCTACAATCGACCTCCTCCTCCTCTACTACCATCTCTGGCATAGCGTTCTCGGTTGCAATTGCTAGGGATCTGTCGTCTTTCAACTGTTCACTACGCCGGAACGAGCGTATGAGCACGGCGCACCTTTTCCGGCCGTTTGGTCGCTTTACTTGTCGTCGACGCATCACTCTTTCTCTGCCAAGGACAGGGACAAGCCGGTCGTATTCGAGCATTACAGAGTCTGTAGAAGACTCTATCTCCACGAACGCGGAGAGTGACCAAGATGTCCTGAGGAAGAAACGAAGGACGGAGTGGAAACGGCGACAACATGTGAGTGTCCCGCGTGGCTCGTGCAACTTGCGCACATCTTGCACGCAGGTAATAGCTGCATCTGATGTTCTAAAGAATTGAGTCTAGGGGCAAACTTTCCTCGACCACATAATTGTCCATGTACGCGGAGGTATGTACTCTCGACGCGTCAAACGTTCCCTCCTCATCTCTATTGGGGCTCAGGCAAAGGCGGTGATGGTTGTGTCGCGTTCCATCGCGAAAAGTTCAAGCCCTATGGACCGCCCTCTGGTGGGAACGGCGGACGCGGAGCGGACGTCTACATCATGGCAACACCACATCTTACCACCCTATCGTCGGTTTCACCTCGAATCCGAGGGCAAGCAGGCGGTTCTGGGCAAGGGACTTGGCAAAACGGCAGGAATGCACCACCAATCATCATCAGAGTACCGGTCGGCACCATTGTGCGTGAACTGGAGCGGGACGACCAGCGGCGATCGAAAGACGAATACGAAGCTGAGGAGGAGGCACTTGAAGGGCTCGAACCGGAGGAACGCAAGAAGCAGCTGCGCGAACGGAGATGGGTCCATTATCCTACGTACGCGGACGAGAACTTCGAGCGCAGCTTCTTCAAGGAGGCGGAGCGTTCGTTATACCGCGAGGAACGTGAGCGGAGGTATTGGCGGCGACAGAAGGCAAAAACTCCGATTCACCTTGACCTCGATAAGTCTGACGAGCCCGACAACGACGTGGATCTGAACGCGCCGCTGGGCCATCGGAGACCAGACACCATGGGCCACCTCATTGCGGCCGGCGGGCATGGCGGCGTGGGTAATCCGCACTACCTAACAACTGAAAACCGCTCGCCGAAGTTCGCTACGCGCGGATGGGACGGCGAGCGTATCTCGCTGTCTCTCGAACTCAAGCTCCTGGCGGACATCGGCCTTGTGGGCCTGCCGAACGCCGGGAAGAGCACCCTCCTGCGCGCTCTGACGGGCGGACGGGCCAAGACAGAGGTCGCGGGCTACGCATTCACGACACTGAACCCAGTCGTCGCTGTCATTCGCGTCGCTGACGACGGCAGCTTCGAGGGCTCGGACGGGGCGGTCTACGACGAGACCTGGGCGGAGGCCCAACACGAGAAGGAACTCATGGAGAGCGGTGCGCTCGCCGACGCACTTACGCGGAACCAAGCGAAGGCGGCTGCTGTGGACCTCGCATACAACCCGCTCGAGTCTTTCCGCTTTACCGTCGCAGACAACCCGGGGCTCATTGAAGAGGCATCCTCGAATATTGGCCTCGGACACTCTTTCCTACGGGCGATTGAGCGTTCTCACGCGCTCGTGTACGTCATCGACCTCTCTTCCCCCGCGCCGTGGGACGAACTACGCGTGCTCCGGGACGAGATCGAGAAGTACAAGCCAGGCCTGAGTCCGAAGGCACGTATGGTGCTCGCAAACAAGGCGGATTTGCTCGGAGGTGCGAGCGAGGACGGCCAAGAGGATCCACAGGCCGTACGGGAGGCGCGAGAGAAGCTCAGGAAGCTGGAAGAGTTCGTGGAGAGGGAGATGAAGGCACAGCTGCAGGATTCCTCGGGGAATGTAATTGGAGAGAGGAGCCTGGACGTCGTCCCGATCTCGGCCAAGTACAGCATGAATCTGCGCAAAGTCATAGGGCTCATGCGTCAGTATGTCGAGGAGGCGCGGGAAGGGGTCGATCCGTTCCCGAAATCGGTGGCTCTGCATGATGTATCGAAGTAATACGGCTGGAATATCTCTAGTCGCGAACGTCTAGTGGGCGTAGGTTACTACGGTCATGCCCTCCGTGCCCGCGTACGTATTCCTAGGCCAGCGAATTTCACTGACAGGAAGACGCACGCAATCCCCAATGACCATCACCATACGAATCACCGCCGTCATGAGTTGGAGACTGGTGCGTATACTCGTCGCATCTATGTCCATGCAACTCACTTTGCATTTAGTGCGTGTCGTGCATCATGTCAGTCTTGTTCAAACATCGTGCTTTTACGCTTTCTATGGTAGGAGTACGCTTTGTGCGCATGCTCAAGATTACACTCAAATCCTGATGCTAACTCGTCGCTGAGCCATGGTTGTCTTCCTCACCTATGCGTCAACGTAATGTCGTACGAGTGCAAGCGTACTTATGAACTCACGTACCTTTTGGTGCGTCGTGCGTCACTCGAGCAGTCAGCTGCCCATTTTCCATCAATTTGGTATGTTCCTCGCGGCCAGTTGACCTTTCGACTGGTCGGCCAAAGCCTCAGAAGGGTTTCGGGCCCCGCGTGACCAAGGCGGCAGCAGCGGGCCGACCGACCACGGCCTCCTCAACGTCCTCCCGCATCAGCGAACCATGCGGGGAGTGCGCGCAGTGCGCTACCCGGTGATCGTGGTCGCCCATACGATGACGACAGGGTGTCATGCATGGCCGACAGATGGTATTAAAGGGTAGTGCGCTCGCCTGTAAAGGCGACAGGTGCCATTGCCTCAGCATCCCCGTCGTCCTCTCATGCGTCTCGCCAGCACTCTCGCGAGCCTCGTCGTCTTCCTTGCTCACTCGACGGTGAGCCAGGCGTGGTATACTGTCATACAGCCGCTCGACACTATATGGCTCAGTGCTCCAGACAAGGTATGAGTCCAGCTGCAGCGAGGAGTGATAGGACATGCATCTAACAGTGTACGCGTTCAGTCAATTAATGCATCGTATTTGCCGTTCGGTGCGACGCAGACTAGCGTTTGGGTGAATGACAAGTACGGCACACCTCGGGACCTGGTACTAGGTATGCCTGTCATGATTCATATCTGCGTACGAATGAACTGAGCTCGTTCTGCAGGCTATGACAACGTAACTACTTACTTGGACCCGCCTTCTCGGTACTCCTGTTTTGCTAGGTTCATTGTCACGATTGGCTCATGCACGGCGTGCCAGGTACTTCGGTCCCATTGTGGGTCGGTACGCTAACAGGATCAAAAACGGCACGGTATTGTCATTTCAGCCTTCACATTCGTCGCCAAGCTCATCCGTTTCACCCTTCCCAGTTCGAGCTCGACAACGTGACGTATACGATTGTCAAGAACGAAAATGACGGCCTGGATACGCTACACGGTACACCATTTCACTCAGTGAAACTCCGAGTCAGAAAGAACTCAGCAATGTTCGATAGGTGGTTCGATCGGATGGGACTCCCGGCCGTGGACCGTTGTAGCTTGGAGCGAGTCTAGCGTTACCTTCTACTTACAAGGTGAGCATACACAAGCTTCGCTTTTAACCTGTCACTTAGTGTCACCTTGAGATGTGGCTGGCAGCATGGGATTCCCCGCTACCGTCGAAGCATATGTACGTTCGTGTCAGACTCCGTGCACAAACAGTGCTGATAGTTGAATCAAAGGTTACCTACACGCTCTACAACGACGCGGCACTGACGATTGAGATTAACGCAACCGCCGATGGGTGAGACATCCTGAAAAGGTCAGGTAACGAATGAACTCACCGTTTCTTAGCGAAACGCCGATATTGCTCTCGTCTCATGATTGGTGGAACCTGGAGGGTTACTATTCCTATGACGGCCAGTACGTATGGTTTCTTTCTAAGAGATCGAGAAGCCCCATGATCTCGTCACAGAAACTCGTCCATCCTCAACCACACATTCTATACCCCAGACGTGACGTCGTACGTAGCGGCAGACGGCATTCTAATCCCCACGGGCGAGCTGCCCAGTGTTGAGGGCACGCCACTCGACTTCCGCACTGCTCGGACCATTGGCAGCGAATTCAATGAAACTGTTGACGTCTGTGGTACTGGATGCACAGGTACGCACTCTCTTCCACGTACGGTCGCATAACCGTAAACGGAAGGATGGCACAGGATACGACACGTGCTTCGTCCGCGACCACAACGGTACGGACAGTACTCTGGCGCTTGAGCTGTACAGTCCAGCGTCGGGAATCAAGCTCAGCATAAGCTCGGAGCAACATGCAATCCAGCTGTACAGCTGCGACGGCCTCGACGGGACGATCCCTGCGAAAGCGTCCCAGGGAGGGCTCGATGGTGTTGTGTACAGCCAATACAGGTATGATCAGTGCCTTCGTACAGCGCGGAAGCTGATATTCTCTTGGTAAGTTGCGCGGTCTTGGAGATGGAGGAGGTCATAGATGCGATCAACAACCCAGAGTGGGGTATCGATTCTATCTACGGCCCTGACCGTCCATACACATGGTCGGCAACATACAACTTCACCATTGTGTAGGGTAGTTCTGTGTGCGGGACATGGTCCGTAGCTATACTCGCTGTGTAGCTCAGTGGTGGCCGGAAGGCTGTCACCCCGAACTAGTAGTTGCTCAATGCGAACTCGGGTGTTTAGCAGGTTGGTCAATGCCCGAGCGTACCACGCCCAGCGGTGAGTCCGCTTTGTATGTTGAGAGCACGTACGCATTCGGTTGGCCGGCCGATGAGTCGCCGTGGTGCAATCGGTATCATCAAACACTGACAATGACAGTTCACGCAGTGCCGCACCGTGCTAGCATAAGCACGATGCACTGGCATCATCGTCACTCTCAAGTTAAGTTGAATGTCCTCTCGAGAAGCACTGTGGCTGCTGCGGTAGCTGCGACCAACCGCGCTACTCATTTGTTACGGTGTTGTAGGCAATGAATCCAGGTCAGGCATGTCGTGTACTTGCATCGCTCGCGGCATTTCACGATGACTCAGACGCGACCGTGCGCGCGCGACAGCGGAGTCACTGCGGTCTGCATTACGACACGTCCTGGGAACGGCGACGAGAAGTCGCGCGGGAATGCAGCCCGGCGTTCAAGAGCGCAGCTTCTCACCGGCAGAATCCAGGATTCAGAATTGAGAGCATCCGGCGCACGAACCCGGCGAAGCTGCGCGACGCGGGTGGATAGTAGCCGATGTTCCGCTGCATGCAGGCTACGATACGCCTGGCAAACGCGGACGTCTTGATTGGTGGGCCTCACACTGGCGGTGACGGTTATAGAGTGTATGGAGTCTGACGAGTCGACAGGGGCGCGAGCTATTTGTGCTATGTGCACAGTAGCGCGCACCGCCTTGTCCCGCCAAACCATGTTATGTTTGAGTTCAGACTAGTAGGGGATCCCCCGAAGCTTCTCCTGACGGCGCACCTGCGCGAGCTCGTGTGGAGGTTCCGGGCGTTGCTGACGCGTTATTCCAGGGCGCGCCGCCGGCTGGTGTGCTGACAGGGGTGGTGGGGCCCGGGGCGGCGGTAGGTTTGGGTGGTTATTGTGCGAGCGGCGAGAGGGTGGTTGATGTGCGGGTGCTGGAATGGTGTAGGAGATTAGAGGGACGGGGAAAGGGCGAGTACACCCAAAGTCGGGCTGCATGCGAGGGACAGTGTACTGGACCGAGTATACGTACAGCAACAGTGAGGCTCCTACTCGGAGTAAGCTACGAGCGCGCGCGAGGCAAGTTCAGGACTAGACATCAGCATAGGCTGCACAGCGTGGTTATGATTGTGGTGACCTGGGAGCCCGAGTGTGAGAGTTTGTACCGTATGATGACCGTGCCCGGCGTAGATCCCGGACTGGCCTGACATGGCGGAGCCTGTCACTGTGATATTGAGTCTTGACCGCAATTGGTTGGCGTGTTCTCGCCGCTAGCCGTCAAGCCGTGCGCTCGAGAACAAGCGGTAGGCGGGGCGCGTGCGCTCATTTTGTCCCTTTGAGGGCGAGAGGGAGCGGCGGCCGAGATAGCCTCGAGGTCACAGGCGCGCTCGCGCGTCTCCCGCGATGCTATTCCATTTCAAACTGGCTAATTATGCTATGTCATGGGTCTAGACATGGCGGTACGTGTACATAGGACTCACTCTGACACTCGCCTTCCGCCTGCGAGGCTTGACGAGAGCGAAGAACGATCAGCGCCAGCGATGACTTAGCTGGCCCGCGGAGGTGCACACCTGTGCACACTTGTCCGGTCTTTCAGTCGCATCGCTGGTGTGGGAAGAGCTGCTGACAGGTGCGGTCAGAGAGTATAATTAACATGACAGTAACGTCAGACCGCGCGTGAGAGGGGCATGTTACGCGAGACGAGCACATGAGGGTCTTCTTCGTCGAAGAAGCCTGAGAGATTCGTGCGAAGCCCCTAAGCTTTTTGGGTTCACCGACTTCTTGCATCCATGTCGATGGGAGGGAAAGCAGGGCCGTTCGGTATCGAGAACATGTCAGACAAAATACAGTTGGCCGAAGAATCGGACGTGCGAGACAACGAGAAACAGCGCGTAGACATGACAGTTGCGGTACAGAATGTATTTGGAATGCATACGTACAATCCTGTAAGTACGGCGTCTCCGGGGGCACGACTGTCAGGGGCGATCTGCCTTGGCGCCCGCCGGGGGGGCCCGAGGGGTGGCCGGGGTCGCCGCGCGGCTGGTCTCATTCTGAATTCACACTCAGTTCGCACTTCCCGCTTCTCGTCCTCCTCCCGCCCTCTCCCCGCCACGCGCGTCGCGCACCATCTCCTCCTCCTCATCGTCGCCAACGATCCACTCGTCGTCTACGGCCTGCCCAGCAGGGGCGGCGCGACGATGAACGGCGCACAGACATCACAGGTAACCTCACACGCGACCCAGATACCCTACCCCCATCCCCACCACATGAACGGACACGCACAGGCCCCTGCCGCGGGCGCATCTGTGCAGCACATCGACATGACACAGTCTAGTCCATCCTCGAATCATGGATCGTCGAGCGGGCAGCCAAAGTTCTCAAATGGACCGTGCGTACCTCAATTTCCTGTTCCGCATCGACTCCTACTTGATGTGACGTGACCGATAGACACATACGCTCGAGGATCACTGTTGTATGCGCCGAGGTGAGCATTCGCAACTTGTTGACCAGTCAGAGCGATGGGTCTGCACGGCCGCCTTCTCTCATATTGTTCAATTTGGGGACCGCCGGCTTCTCGCTTGATTGACCGACGCATTCGAGGTCTTCGCGCACGAGAAGAGAGCGATTTCTGTGACGTTCACTCGGCGGCCTCAGTACAGGTCAAACGGCTAGTGCTCTGCTTGAGACCACTGTTGAACGCGACAGCGTTACCCCAATCTCTAGCTTGGGCAACCTCACGGCTGTCGCCGCCTGCGGATCGAGGTACCCGAGGCAATGCGAAAGTGTGTGCCGACGTCTGGGGCGCGGCGATAGCGATGATGGTCGGCCAGGATGTCGCAGACGACGCGGAGGTTCCGCTTGGGGATGATGACGTGGACGTCGAGCTTGGCGTGCGCGAAGTGGACAGTCGCGAGGTCGCTCCTCGGAAACACTATTCGTTTGGTCGCTCTTCGCGCAGAGACGACCTTCACTGCGATCTCCGTGGCTGTATTTGGGTGAGGTGTGTGAATCGCCCTGCAAGCAGCTGCGCTACTGCGCGCGAGCGCAATCTCATTCTCTCTCGTGGATGTCTTGTGGCGACTGGTGTCCTATGCTCATTGCACCAGGTCGGAGGATGTTTCCATTGCTGTCATTTACTTACACGAGCAGTGGATGGCCATATACTGTGACAGTCATGGTAACGTGTCGAACGCGTGCTTGGTGCCCGTGCTCTGTGTTGGTGCTCCTTGTTGCATCGTCTGCTTTGGGCCTACGTTCGTCTTCTAGTGCACGGTGTCTGATCTTCCTCCTCTAGTGTAAACGCCTCAAGCTGAAATGCGACAGACGGACACCATGCTCGTCTTGCATCAAGCGCGACACCGTCCAGCGGTGCGTGTACTCACAAGCCGCAGCAGAGAAGATCGACGTGCAGTCGCTGCACAATCGTATTGTTGTGCTCGAGGGCATATTGACAAAGCTGGGCGAGGCATCGCCCGGCGCACCGATTCAGAGCATACTCGGAAGCAGCGGGTTCAAGGCACCCTTCGGAAATCTGGCTGCACCCGGAGCTGACAATGCCATACCTGGGCCTGGGATGAATCATTCGTTCGTGCCGAGCATCAGCAATGACCGTGCGTTGCTTGCAACGGGAGCAACTGGGAGCTCCGTCGTGATCAGCTTGGACGACGTCGCAAGCATCTGGTTGAATGAGTTCCACGACATCGCGCTCGGCCAGGCAGATGCCTCATCGAGTAGCCCGTCCGCTCCTTGTGTCAAAGTCGAGCCGACGCCCATCCTCCTCTCCTCCCCTTCGCCATTCAGCAACTCCGCATCCCCCTCCACCACCTCCCTTCCTCGGTTTGTTCCTCCTGTCCCGTACTCTGAGTTCCTTCCGTCGCCTGAGCCCGTAGGCGACACACATGTCACGAACGGCGCCAACCTCTTCCCTGCGTTTGGGCCCTCCGCGCCCGAGCCTCTGCCTCAAGTGACGCCAGAGCTGCTGAAGCACCTACCGCCGAAGGAGCGCGGGGCAGACATCATCAGGTGTCTTGAAGAGACGATGGTACTTCATCCGTGCTTCCACGTCGGGCACTGGGTGAAGCGTGTCGAAGCGATGCTCGCCTGGGGAGAAGGCGGCCAAACCGGGGCAAGCCCTGTGATGACGAGCTCGACTGGAAGCATGCGCGAGCTCGCGCGCGAGGTGTTCTTCGGGCCGCCTCCAGGGAAGAAGGCGAAGGCGCCACAGCCGAGGCCCACTCTCAGCTTCTTCGCGAGTGCGTGTGCCGGGCTCGCACTCGGTGCGCTTGTTGCAGCGAAAGGACACCCGGATTTGCCTGGCGGGCCGCCGCCGTCGCACTCAAGGCCGGGCTCCTCGTCTTCGAAGGGCAAGGACGAGCCGAGCGAGGCGGAACGGTGCAGTCCCGCGGCGCTGTTTGCGCTTTCGGAGCAGGCGTTCGGCTTGGCGGAACGTACCGCGTCGTACGACATCGATTCTGTGGTTACAATGATCCTGCAGCTGTTGTATCTGTTGCACTGCTGCCCGGGAGGGACGAGTGTCCAGCAAGGCGTGTTACCGTTGGTGAGCCGTGTTGCTTGCTGCGTCACTTCTACCGGAACTGTGCTGGTAGGAGTGGGGTGCGGTGAGGTGCAGTAGTTGACGAGACCCTGCGTTTGTACAGGTGGGGAAGATGATCAACGTCGCGAGGATGATGGGGCTTGCGAATGACCCTGATGAGTTTCCGGGAACGTACTCGCTGTTTGAAGCCGAGACACGGAGGAGGGTGTGGTGGGACGTGTTCTACTACGACCTGTGGGTTTACTTGTCTCCCTCGGACGCGCGTTGAGGCTTACTATGATTCACGGCATCAGCTTTGTCTCGGACTGCATGGGGCACCCGCCATTGATTCCAGACAACTCATTCACGACGCATCTGCCAGCGGACGTGGACGAAGATGCATTTGGTCCGAGTTCATTAGTCTTGCCTGGCCCGTCTGAGGGCAACGATGGCGCGGACCAAAGCTCTGCATATTTCTCACTCAAATGCAGGTGAGCATAGTTGCGCCGCACCTTCAACACGGCGACTGATGTAGGCACAGGCTAGCGCAGCTCATCAAGAACGTCAAGAAACAAACGTTCAGGGACCCGCTTGGCGACGACCCTAACGAGCTATCGATCGACCAAGCGGCACTATATGAGAGTGACGTGACGGCCTTCCTGGCCGAACTGCCGCCCGCCTTCTGTCTTGAGCTCGACCACGATTGGTCGGATCCCGTCATCCCTACGCATTCGACACCTGCGTCGACGGCACTGCTGGCACAGAAGTGTGAGCTTGCCATTCTCGCGAACCGCCTCCTCATGAAGCTCTACCTGCCGTTCCTGAAGGACAGTCATACGGGCGCGGGCAAGCATCAAGCCGTCTTTGGTACCCTGAATGCTGCTCACGCGATCATCTATGCGAGTCGGCTGTTGCATGGTGTATGGGCCAACACGCGGCCCGCAGCTTTCGACTTTTACGATTTCGGTCGGGCGTTGTTCGACGCAGCCGTCGTGTGTGCGCACGCGGTTATCCAGCAACCCGGTGGGATGCTCGCCGGCGAGGCCCTCAAGGGCGTCGCATGCGCCTTGGATGTGCTCAAGACGCTCAGCTCGGACACCGCCGTGGTCAATAGCAGGGCGGATGCAGTGAGGGTGGTCGAGATGATGAAACGGAAGGCAGAGGCTGCGCGTGCGAGCGGAGGGTCTAACGGTGTCGCCGCTGCAGGCATGAAGCGGAAGCGTGACGTGCTCGACAACGAGCGTATGCCGGCGGGCTTCCAGTTCCCCTACGTGGGCCCATCCGTGAGCTCGATGAAGGCTGAACCGGGGCGCTCGCCGACGAAAGCGAACGGTAGCACGGTCAACGCCAACGATGCTGCGCCGGACAGGCCGGGGAGGAAGGAGAAGAAGCAGATGAAGGAGAAGGACAGAGAGGGGGGAAAGCAGGCACCTGTGGGCATTCGCGCGCGGCCTAGTCAGCCACCGAATGGGAGCGGGAGACCCAGAGGCGCATCCGTGTCGAGCAATGCTGCTGCGCCTCACCTACTTCCCCCGCCGCGACACACAGCGACACCCGGAAGCGGACCTTCCTCCGCTGCTTCTTCGTCCGTCTCGCACGTTCAGTCCCTCCCGTCTCATCCTGCCCCCACCTTGCCTAGTGCCCACGATCCATACGCAGCGCGCCCGCCGCAGACACCCGTGCAGCCAGTTCCAGTGCACGAGCACATGCCCCGCGAGGACTACCAAATGCAGTTCTCGAGCGACGATGCGGACAGGAGGCGGTACAATTCGACGTTCTCCGATTCGCCACAAGGACCGTCGCTGTTCGACCCCGCATCGCTCTCGCATCCCAGTCCAGTATCGTACAGCACGGGTCCCAGCCCGCCGAACTACTACCAATATGCGCCTCCGCCGGGTCCGCCGCAGTCGTCCCAGGGCCCTCCTCCTGGCTACGAGAACGGTCCGCAAATGAGCCACCCGCAGAATGTAGCGCCTCCGCCAATGGGCAGCCTGCCCATGGATGCGTCCACGGGCCAGGTTGGGCAGACCGGTCTGCAGATGTCAACGATGGTGGAAACCCGGTACGGGATGCAGTACCGACCTGAGCACGCGCAGCCGATGCCGACGCATGACTACCACCCACATCCGCCACCGCCCCCTCAGGGCATGCCGATGTCGGGCTCGCATGCTTGGCTGCCTCCTGAACACAATGCGGGTGCAGAGATGTGGAACGAGTACAAGTATGTGGGCTAGACATGATACCCTTCGTCGAGTCTGCCCAGCCGTCTATCTTTATTTCTCTTTTCCTTTGATGCTCTCGGTGCTTCGTCGGTTTTCTCGCCTCTCCTCCTCTTATCTTTCTGTACACCGCTCCTCTGATTCTATCCCGTCTTGTTCCATGATTGGTTGGAGCCCATTCTCCAAGTGGGCTCCGTCGCCCGAGTTGTTAGGAAGGAGCCTGAGACACGACATCTATGCACGCGACAAGTGTCCCCGGAGTTTGGTTGCAATCATATTTCACTTGGCTTGTCTGATCGTAGTATATCTGTCGTATATGTCGTATGCTTCGTCTAGTCCTCATGTATCCATACGTTTCATAGATTGTTTTACGGACTTGGTCCTACAAAACACATATCTGCATCTTGTACGCACGATTACCAGGCGGAATGCACCGCGGGAGCCCATGCTTATACCCTGGAGCTGGAGAATTTGCTTCCATGTGCCCTCTCATCTGACGTTTCGCGACTCTCCGGGATGTGCCAACTGAGATCTGATGAGCTTCGTAACAAGAGCAATAACAGACTATACCACGATAGCGCTACAACAAGAACGACGCAATACTGCAAGTACAACCGTACAACCGCAGACGGTAAACAGCCGCTAGAGACACTACAACAAACCTCTCTTATGCGCCATCCACGCGACGAATGGTTCGCCTCTCCCGATCGCCCACCACCTTGACCATACCCTCCTGCTCCAGTTCCTTGATGACCTCCTGGAATTCCGACGTGCTGATTCTGACCGAGCTCTGGCTCTCCAGCTCCTGGAGGGCCTCCGACCACTTGACGCCGCGAGTGCTGCCGGCGTTGCCATCGAGCATCGCCAGGACAGCTTTGCGCATGTCGCCGCGCATCTTCCGCTGCTGCCGCCCGATACCCGTGTCGAGTAGACCCATGTCGATCTCACCCGTCGTGGGATCCCTGGCGCTCGTGCTGATGGCCTCGCGCATGAGACGGTACGCCTCCTTGACGTCGTCGAGTTCGACAAACGGCGAGAACCGCATCCGGGCATGGGCCTCTGAGAGCCGGATCATGCTTTCGAGCTGTCTCGTCGTCGCTGTGATCCGTTTCTCACTCGATCGGGGGTCATCGCCAGCCTTGCGGAGCGTAACATAGCAGCGGACGAGCTCCTCGGAAGCTTCTTCGGTGATAGTTGGGTTGATGCGCGACCGAGCATAGGTAACGTATGCTGCTAGTTGATCAAGCGGCTGCGGCAAACATTTAGCGTCTATCCAACAAACCTAGAGAATCGTACATACCAGGATGTCCTGTCCGCCTGTTTGGGGAGCATCTTCTAGATACAAGCTAACCAAATGCTGCGCTAGCTTCCTATCGATGGCTTCGTCGACTTGGTCGAGGACTAGATAGAGGAGGTCGAAGCGCGAGATAAGCGTCGGCGGCAGGTCAATGTTTTGAGTGACCGTGGCGTTTCTGTTGTACTTCGAGCCAATAGGGTTGGCCGCAGCCAGAATGGAGGTACGCGCGTTTAATGTAGTGATGATGCCTGCCTTCGCTATAGAGACTGTTTGTTGTTCCTGGTAGAAGGCGAACGTCTGAATAGTGCGACGAAGACGTTGCCGCAGACGAGACTCACCATGACTTCATGGAGGACACTGCGAGTAGCATCTGACATCTTGTCGAATTCATCGATGCAGCAAACACCACCGTCACTCAAGACAAGAGCACCACTGGATTCGGGGCTGAGCCGCTTTGTTCGTCCAACATGAGTGCCTGGCTTACCTTTCGAGCACCAATTGCTTCGAGTCTGGATCGCGAGTCACATATGCCGTGAGACCGACTGCAGAGGACCCTTTGCCCGAGGTGTACACGCCTCGCGGAGCAATCTTGTGTACGTACTATGGTACGTAATGTCAGTTGAAGCAGGCATCGAGCCAATGGACGTTCACTCACTTGGAGGATCTGTGACTTACTCACACCTGGATCACCAACGAGCAGTACGTTAATGTCGCCACGGAACCGGGGTCCCCCGCCGCCACCACCTCTCGCGATGCTCTTGTTCGTGCCTCCGAACAGCTGTAGCAATATACCTTTCTTGACGTCATCAAGAGCCCAGATAGACGGGGCAAGCGAGCGGGCGAGGAGGTCGTAAATATCCGGCCGCTGACTGAGCTCCCTCAACTTGGCCTCCATCTCCTCCCGCCTCGTCGCGCGCCGCTCCTTATCTCCGGCGGCATCGTTTTCGTCATCTTCGTTAGCACCACCACCGATCCCGCCCATACCGCCCACACCGGGAATCCGGTCGCCGCCCGCAGGGCGTGTGCTGCGGTCAAAGCCCAGTCTGTCCTCGCTATTCATGCGCACATGCACGACATCCAGGAAGGTCTTGAACAGGCTCTTCAGGGTGCGCTGACGCGGGTTGACGCGGACGGGTATGCTACGGAAGATGCCTGTGACAGCGAGACGATCGCCGGGCTTCGTAACGTCCACGAGCTCATCGTACACGCTGAGCGACACCGTATGCGGTGTCTGACCATCGGGCACCGCGTCCGGGGTTTCTTGCAGGCGAATGACCTGCCTGTCCGCGAACTCGCACCGGTTGTGCACGAGGGCCATTGTCCCCAGGGAGGCACACACCTCGCGGGGACACATCGCCGGCTCGTCGATTTTCCCCCGGTCTATCTCGACCTGCACGGTGTGGTTGCACTTGAGGCAGCGGAAGAACGCGACCTTCATGTCCGGTATCACGGGCGTCGCGCGGATGACGAGGCCCTTGATGCATACGAGCTTGTCCGTATCTAAGGGCACGCTCAGTTGAATTCGCACCTCATCAATGCATGTACTTACCTGTCGGATTCAAGTCTCGCATGTTAATGGCCGGCATTCCAAAAGGCCGGATTTTGTACACCTTGCTCATGATGTCCGCGATCTCCTCTTCGCCCTCCGGACCAACCATGCCCGGCAGACCAGCTTGCTGGTCTTCCTCCGCCACCTCGAGCATGAGGTCCTTGAGCACCTGGTCCATCGCGGGTATCACTTCCTGCGGATACTTGACAAGCTGGCTGAACAGCTTCCGACTCGGCGGATACGACGACAGGTTGACCATGTCCAGGTTCAAGTTCGTCTCGCCCGTCTGGCGCATCCGACGAAGGTACGTCACGTACAGCGTGTGTTCGCCCTCTCCGGGTGTGGACAGCACGCGGGTGCGCAGACCGCGCTCGCGGTCGTAGGCGACACGGTACTTCACTTTGAAGCTGAGTAGAAAGTCACGGAACGTCTGCATCGTCACGTTAATGTTTACCGTCGTGCCCCAGATGGCACGAATTTCATCCGGCTCATCAGACGGAACAGTCGGTGCTGTTAAGTTCGCGGCGGATGAGGCGGGGAGTGACATGTGTGTGCCATCAGAATTGAGGTCGTTATCGAGGTTACGTGGGCGGGGTGCCCGACGAGAGGCAGCTGGAACAGGCGTCACGCTCAGGGAGGAGTGGATATCACCGCGACGGTTCTTTGGTGTGCCTGTGGGAGCCGGGCTCCTACAAAAGATAGGTCAGCATGTCTAGCAACCGTGACAACTAGCAATAGAGTTCTATAGTTTCAAAGACGGTAGCTCACTCACATCGGAAAATCGAGCGGTTCAGAATCGGCAGCGGAACCCGGCGGGTCGGAGCTCATGGCGAACAGAGGACGGCGGGATGGGGTATTTTGCTTGCTCGGGGAGCTCGGGAACGCCATTGGGGAGGAGCTCGACGCTTGAAGCGCATCAGAACGTGCGCACCTTACCGGTACTGAACGAGCTCACCAGTGAATAGCGGAGTCTTTCCCCGTGGCGTGTTCATGCCAAGGGCTCTGCGAGCCACCATTGACATACTACTCCCAGGTGTCGCATGACGTTGCTGACGTGCGGGAGTTCCAGTAGCTGAGGGGGTCGACGCGAGAAAAAGTGGTTGGGCCGCAGGCGCGTCCGAGGTGGGCTGTTCAGCTTGGACTCCGTCCTGCATGTCGACGTCGTCCGATGTCCAGAAGTCCTGAGGAGGAGACATTGGAGGAGACATGGGTGCTTGTGGCGGCGACGACATATTGTCTGTATATGAGCACAGGAGAGAAGGGATGAGGTGAAGGTCGAGGAAGAGGACGGGGCGCGGTCGCGACGCGACGTGACACTCATTTACGCGACATGTCACGGACCACGTGATATACGCGTGCCGCTTTGTGCAGTTTCAAGTCTCAAGATATCAGTCTTAGAGGCTATATATAACTTGAACTTAATGGTATCTGGTATTCACTGGATTTAAACTTAAAAGGACGAACGAATAGTTATTCGTCTACCGATGATGATCGATGATATGCCATATCTCCCCCAAAGGATACATGCTCAGGAACTATGATAGACAGGCGACATCATTCGGCGTACTGTTACATCCCTCGCCCTACTCCGAGTCTGGTACCTCCCCTACGCCCTACATACTTGCCTTCTCCTTGGCCGCTTCCTCCTCCGTGACGACCCTGCCCTCAAGCCTCTCTGCCACTTCCGCCGCGAGCACTTTCACATTTTCCTCGTCTCGCCCGATGAGCGCGACGTACACTCCCCGCATCAGCAGTGGATACGACCCCACGCGCACGCCAGCGGCCTTCGTCCGTGCCTGAAGCTCAGTGAGGTACGGGGCGATGGACGACTCCGGCATGCTACGGTGTGTGAGTCAGTGTCCAGTCAAATGTGGGAGTGGGGTCAGATGGACGTACCTCGTGAAGATTTGGAGACGGAAGGGGCGCTCGCTCAAGGGCGGGAGAGGTAGGTAGAGCTTGAGCCCATCGAGCATCTTCTGTAAGAGTCTTGGGATTCCCGGGAAGACGCAGAGCTTGCCCTCCAGGCGCACCACGGGCTGCATACAAGTAAATTCTCCATGTCAGCATGTGCTGTGAGCACCGGCATTGATAGCCCAGCGACACGCACCACCCATACATCAGGCCCGATGAAGAGTGCCTCGGCTCTCGCAGGGAAAAGGGCCATCCGCTCGCGAGCCTCGCGTTGCTCCGCAGTCTGGTTCATGATGTCGGCGCGGTGGCGGCTCATTGCCGTCATCCGCGAAAGAGTCTCTGCGTGCTTCTCCAGCGGCTGGTTGAACGCCTTTGCGAGGGAAGCATATGTGATGTCTGCCTCGGTTCATGAGTATGACATTTTAGGAAGGACGGTTGTTGATCGCGCAGCATTGTCACGTACCATCATGCGTAGGCCCTATGCCTCCGGAGGTGATTACAAAGTCGTACGTCTGTACAAGTCGACGACTGGCTTCGATGCTATAGGTGCAGACAGACGACAGTTATGAGGCGGAAGTCCGCCATGTGCATGACGTAGCGTACGCACATATCATCCTCGTCATCCGGTATAACTTCGATTCGCTTTCTGTCAGCTTACGAGTTATTCGTGGGACTGACCGCAAAGTCATAAATCTCACAGGTCGATGCCATTCTCAAAACAGAAACGCGCGAAGTAGTTGGAGTTGCGATCGAGCGTCTTGCCGTTCAGTATCTCATCTCTGACCAATGTTGATCAGAAACGATGCACACGGATGGCAACCAGTGTACATACCCTATGATGAGGGCTGCTGCCCTCTTGATATATTGCCCCTCACCGAGAGGATTAGGAGGCACGGGCGACACTGGGAAGTTCCACTCCGTCACTGGCAGGGCATCTGGCGCTGTACCAGCGCTCGCGCCTGAGGCAGGCTTCGCGGATGGATCGCCCGGGATACCTTGTTGCGACATGTTACGGCAAGTCGATTGGTGGGGGACGTTTGTCGGTTCCGGGCGCCGAGCAATTGTGAACCTGGAGTAGCAGCTCGAGAACTGAAGACGTCCGGAGCGGAAGGGTTTGACTCGGAAGTACAGGTGCGAAAGGGAGCGGGGATACATGCAAGCTTTAGTATTAGTAAGTATTCTGTAAGGCTAGGTCGCTCGATAAGGCATTTAGCTTGGTCAGACGCGAAGTCGGACGCCGATGAGGATGCGTACTTCACGGTGGCGTCTGGTGGCGTGGCAGATAGTACGCCCAATAAGTCATAGACCCTGATTTGAACGGTCAGGGACTTGTCAATGTCAGGGACTCATCTGTTCGTTGGTCACTACACACTGTATCATACTTACCTCATCCTAGCATCGCACTTACCAGAAGAAATACCACTGCAGCCTACGTTGATGCCATTCAAGTTGGACCAGTATAATTATCACTGTCAGTACTTGCAAGAAACGAGAAATGAGATTATATCAGCAGACTACGCTAGTACAGCTCAGGTCACGCGTGACCTCGTCTACCGTTACGGGCGAACATATCAGTGCGGGCAATGGGCATAGGAGTAAGGCATAAGGAGAAGGGCGAAAATGTAAGTAAGCAGTGTTAAGAAACGACAGGTGAAGTGATGCGTAAGATATCAACAGGAATGGGTGTTAAGGTGAGAGAGGTCGTCTAAAACTTGTCTAAAACTGTCTAAAACAATGCATCAACGCCCGGTCATGTGACTTGACTGGTTCAGCCGAGCTGAGCCGCCGTTGTTAGTTAAGTAACCTTTATTAGTTGCCTCTTCTACATCTACTATCATACTACATACCCTCAGCGGCTCGCGAACGCTCACAATCAGCTCGCATTCTGCAGCTACGGTACCCCGAACATGCAAAGATGCTACGAGCTGAGTCGGATGTCGAAACAGTCGAGGAAGCTGCGGTCCTTGAGTGTGAGTCGTGGTTGTCTCCCCGCCAGTCCATCTTACACAGTATCCAACAGTTCAAGGGAACCACCCCTGGTACGGTCTTTCCGGCCAGATGGGGCAACCGCAACGCTGTCCTTGACCCAACTCATCCCGCTCTCCGCACGCCGCACTCGCAGATGACAGTGACTTTCTCGGCCTTAACCCTTCGCATTGTCCCCAAAGGCTTGCTATACCACCCATCGATCCCAGTTGGCCCCGCTCCGTACAACCCAAAGCAGGACCCCGGGCAAGTCGATGTTTCGGTTCGCGTCGTCATGGGCGCGAACAAGTTTCCTTCCGCTGTCATGCGGGCCAAGGTCGCTAGCAAGATAAAGAATGCGATGTCACTGGTCGTGACAAGGGGTGCGTACGTGGAGGAGAACGCGGAGGGAAAGCCGAAGATTGAGTTCAGGGAGAAGGATGCTAGTCGGGACTGGATCCGCAATGGTGCGTTGCCTAATTCCCAGCAGCTGCACCGCCTTGACGCGTTCCAGGCTACACATACGTGTTCCATCCGCCACCGGAGCTATACAGAATGCCCTACCAGACCCTCATCCCCATCGTCCGCAAATTGCTTGGTACGGCACGATACCGCGGGCAAAAGCTCGAAGACTTGTGGGCCGGCCGAGGAGCACCGCGCTCGCGGTCTACACCCGCAAACCACCAGTCTCGCAATCGACCCTCACAAGTCTGACCGCGCAGACAAGATGACGAAAGGCCCATGACATTCCGTGCGGTGCGCCAGAATATCGCCAATTGGGGAACCTACGCTGCAATTGGAGCAAGCAATTCAAGGCCAACTTCACCCGGCGACAAACGCTGCGCGCCGCGTGCTTGAGCTGTATCAGACGGTCCGGGCGTTCATGAAGCTGCGTGGCTACGAGTCGTCTTCGTGAGTAGTCCAGGCGCTACCTCATGCAACGCGCTCACAGATTTAGGTCGCGTTGCATGATTGTTATGCACATCCTTCGTAGTCTGCCGATATTCCCCCGTGTACGCGCCCTGTGTCCTAATCGAATCCATCACGGAGTCATGACATGGCCAGTCGACGAGTACGCAACAGACGGTCTTCCGTCGTGGCATTTGCTGCTTACACGTGAGGGCACAGTGTCTGCTTCTGTGTTTGCTACAGGCCAGCACCGGCGGGAACAATAAGGCGATTTCCCGCATGACCTAGCCATTCCGGCGCCGTACCGTCATGCTCGTGCCTTCTCGATAACGGAATTTGTTCATGAGCTCGGAGTCCGACGCTTAGGCAGTCGCCATCCCCACTCAGCTGAGGCAAGCTATGTCGCACACTGACGTTCAGGAGCTGAGGCGGTCGACGGCGAAGTCGGAGATCGAGCTTTACGAGGATTCGGAGAAGCAGCTGCCTGCGGTTATGACGATCCAGGCTAGCCACCCGCTGTGCGCAACTGGGGATGAGGAGACATCGAAGCCGCAAACCACGCTGCAGAGACTCACTGCTCGTCTTGCACGGTGGGGCGTGGAGACGAATGGGTGCGTGTTCAGTCCCCCGTTTGGCATAGAGGAGGCTGGACACGAGACTTTCCACAGCATTACGCCCGTACTGCCGGAGCAGAGAACTGACCGACGTCTCTACCAGATGTTCTTCGTGTGGTTCTCTGCGAATCTGAACATCCTAACGTACGTCTGCGCTAAAGTGGTTTTCTACAACATCTGACCATGGTTTATGTGTGCAGACTGACTGCCGGTACCGTTGGGCCGGCATTCTACGGACTAGGCATCAGGGCGTCGCTCCTGGCCATTTTGGTGGTGGATGTAGTGTGATCAAACCAACTACTGCGTTGTGATTATTCGCTGACCAGATGCAACAGAACGTGTACAATACCTGCGTTCTTGTACGTCGTCAACTCTTGCCTGAAAATGTCTATTCACATCCCAAGATAGCGCTGTTCTGGGGCCGAAACTAGGGATGCGTGGAATGGTGCAAGCTCGCTTTTCTTGGGGGTATGTAGCCTCACTTCTCCGTGTTCGCATGTCGACGCTGATCGATCTCTTTGTAGGTATTACGGGGCATTGATACCTAGCACACTTGTTACCGTCACACTCCAAGGCTATCTCATCCTAAACACCATCGTCGGCGGCCAGACACTCGGAAGCGTCTCTGCGCACCTTAATGCGTCTCTTGGTATCGTGATCATCGCACTCGTCACCCTAGCGGTGCGTGCTTAGGTGTGGAGTACACACAATTCGTGGTTAACCTTCTTAATGTACAGGTAGTCTTCAGTGGATCTCGAGTGCTGCATTGGTATGCTCGCCTGTGTACTATCGAGCCCAGGCATGCTCATAACGATCCCGATAGGTACAATACGTTCATATGGATTCCGAACCTCGTCGCTTTCATCACGATGCTCGGTGTGAGCGGCAAACACCTAGTCGAGTCGCCGCTATCTAACCCTACACCTGTGGGGGCCTCCAACATCATGACGTTCGGAGCGACACTCGCAGCCAGTGTCGTGAACTGGTCTCCACTCACGCCTGACCAGGGCGTGTATCACGATCATACTGCAAGCGCGTGAGTCGCGGCACTGCTGCTGCGAACATGCTCTCACTATGCAGATAGGCTGAGGATATGGACGTACACGTACTCGGGTCTTCTCTTGTCGAGTGTAAGCGCTCACACCACGAAACTCCACTTGTGCTCACCCTCGTGAATGGTTACATCGCTAGATGCCGGCACACATGCTCGGCGCAGCCTTCACAGCGGGGGCGGCCTTCAACCCTTCGTGGAAAGCAGGCCTTGGGAATGGCAACGACATCGGTGGGCTCATCGCCGCGGTGTTAGAGCCCGCAGGCGGATTTGGGAAGTTTCTCGTGGTCCTGCTGGCATTGACGACGCCTAGTCAATGTGCACCGTCAATGTACACGGCATGTAACAGCTTCATGACGCTGGCGCCCACTTTTGCTCGGATACCAAGGTTCTTCCTTGCCATTGCGTCCACTGCCATGTGCGTATCGTGTCGCTCGCGCTGCTTGTGAGGACGGCTGACACGCAAGCAGAATCATACCCGTTGCGATTGTCGGCTCCAATACCTTCTACTCCATCTTCTCCGACATACTTGGGTTCATAGGCTACTGGCTCGCGCCCTACGTCGCCGTTGTCCTCGTCGAACATGTGCTCTATCGCCGCATGCGCTGGTCGTGCTACGACGTCTTCGAGGCGTGGGACGACCCGAAGCACCCGAATCTCGCACCGAGCTACTGCAGTGTCATCACGTTTGTCGTCTCTGTAGGCTTCATCGTGGTTTGCATGGACAAGGCATGGTGGGTCGGACCGATCGCACGGGCAGGTACGGGTGATGTGGGGATGCTGCTCGGCTTCATCCTCGGTATTGTGGTCTATGCGGCAGTGAGGTGGTGGAGCGGGAGGCGTCTGATCGCTTACACATGAGTAGTTTATCTGAAAAGCGAGAATTTCACGAGACCAATGTAGTCCTTCCGCTTGGTTATTGATGCCTGCGTTGCCAAGCCCGGTCTTCACCCGTTGTTCCCTCCAATCATCTAGGGCTGTCGAGCTCTCATCTGCTCATCGGATTGTCAATCCAGTAAGACGGCTCTCTCAAGTGGTCAACTACGCATCTGTCAACAATTATGTCTCTCGCCCATGCTCGTCAACGGCAAGCCGACATCAAGAGGGTCACCAGCAAGAGCACATTCGTCGTTGGCGCGACGCGCGTTGTACGTGTCACATGACCGCGATGGCGCTCATCGTTTCACGGTCTCGCCGAATTCAATGTTCATCTCGTTTCTCATTTCTCGCCGTTCTCCGTTGTTCGCCACTGCCAGGAGCGACCAACACGACTTGAGCTACGCACACGAGTCGCACTCGTCCCGCCGACCCTCCTTCCTCCGGACAGCTTCCCCGGTTCTCCTCTACCCTGGTTTTCCTGCAGATGTGTACAGCACCAAGTCGCGTGCTTGAGATACCGCATCTCCTTGAACAGATTCTAGGGCAGTTTGCGCCCCAATGGACAGACGAGCCGGAGCTCATTGTGATGCGGAGGAGAGATGGAAGAAAGGCCAGAGATGAGCGCAGGACTCTGACGGAGCTAGCATGCGTATCCAAGGGGTTCATGGGTCCCGCGCTCGACATTCTATGGCGAAACCTGGACGATCTTGCTGCTTTGTTGCGTATATTGCCTTCCTTCCAACTAAGCGGTTCTTGGGTAAGCTTTGAGTTTTCTAGGACTACTGATCAGTGGATCCTAATGGTTTTGCAGTATACGATCACCGAGGATATCACGCCCAAGCAGTGGTCGCGCTTCCAGGAGTACGCGAGGCGTGTTCGCGGCCTGAGGTGGATTCACTTTATCGCGTCCACAATGATGGACATTGTTTGGGTCATTCTCGAACGTCATTCAGCCGACCAACCTCTATTACCACGCCTCCACACCCTTGTAGTGCACGGAGTCGACGTGAGCAAGCCGGCCCCACTATCGCTCTTGCTCTCACCCTCTATCCGAACGCTCAGGATGTCGTTCGCAGATGGACCAATCCGCCCCGGGGCGCGAACGAATCCGTTTCTGAGGCAATCAGCCACTGGCGTCCTCATTCAGCTCGTTGTCGCGGCACTACCGGACCTGTCTAGCTTCTCCATAGACTCTGGCATGCCGAGCGATGTTCCTTCGCGCTACCTGACTTCCCTCACGCAACTCCATCGCCTTGAGAGACTCGAGCTAGTGTACTCCAACGCTGTCGTCGACCACCAAGTGTTACAGCACATATCTCACATGACATCTCTCAAGGCCCTCGATTTGAAGATTTCTTTCAATGGGCTGAGTAACTCGGACCGCTTGCACCTCGGCGAAGCATTTACCGGTTTGGAAGAACTCAATGTCTCCGGAAGTGCCCACGACATTCAACGGCTCTTCGAATCTGACGCGGTTCGATGTCCCAACCTTACAAGTCTCTGCCTAACGGGGTTAGAGACCGTCTCGACGGAGGCTCTGAAGGACGCCGTCGCGGCCGCGTGCAAGAAGCTCTCCCAATCTCTGAACGAGGTTAACATGTTTGTGTCCGGAGACACGTTCTCTACGACCCTCTCCCTGATGGACGTCCTGCAACCATACTTGTCCTTCCGCGAGATGGAGAACATGAGCATCGAGCTCGACGGGTGTATCCCCCGCATGGACGATGAAGCCGCCCTTGCATGTGCAAGTGCCTGGCCAGACCTTCACTCCTTCAGTGCGCACTATGGCCCGGCATCGCGTCGTCCCGCTCAGTTCCCGAAGCAGCCAACAGTTGCCGCGCTTATCGAGTTCGCGCGGCGATGTCCTCGGCTAGACTTCCTTACTCTGTCCATATTGGATGTCAGGACCCTTCCACCGCCGCGCTCGGTGGCTCCGATCGGCCAGGAGTCACTCAGTCTCCTGCAGACCAGGATGTACATCGGGGGAAAGACCGCGAATTTGCTTGACCTCGCAATTATCCTCGATCTCCTATTTCCCCGTCTCGGGACACGACAACCCAGCATTAGCACCACGCAAACCGACGTGACCCGGAATATCTTGAATGGTGACATGCACGAGGCACCCGTGCGCATGACCCAGCTATTGCTGGCGGCGATGTGTGCTCGCAGAGAGCTGTCCAGTGGAAGCATCCCTATGGCGACTGACAGCGAAAGCGAGGACACGGACCCGGAGAGTGCTCAGGTATGCATTTCTACCTTGCGGAAGCTGAGTCGAGCTCACTAGTGCCTCAACTAGGTTAGCGAACATGGCTCGGATGACTCGGATGAAGTGATGGTATGGGGTAGCTGAGGCATTGGCTCGGTATCGGGTTGCTAAAATACACACATTCGCCGATACAAGAAGCTGAACTCTTGCGCCTGCTCATTGTGAGTGGGTCTGCGAGGCGCCGGACTCACGTCACCGACTCGACCTTTACCGAAAATGCCACGGCGCTCACTTGGAGGTAGTATCAGGTAGCATGCTGGGGTATCATGCCGGACTCACTCATACGTGTCAATGCGATATTCGCTCATGTTCTGGGCGTAGCCGCCAGAGTTATGTAGTACATGACCCGGCGTGACAATGTTTCGTTGGCTTGAGCCTCAGCGCGTCGGCTGGGTACGCTCCTGCGTAAAGCAACGAACGGACACAGAACGTGAATCGCTCTCAATGTGATAGTAGTTTCAGAATGTATTGGGCGAGTCGAATGGCTGTCAGGATTGGTTGAGTGACCTCGGGATCCGGTGAACGTTTTTCGCTATTCGTCACGCCCCGTACGAACACAGGCAGACCTGCAGAGAGTAAAGGCGGCAGGTACAACATTGACTTGAGGGAATGCGAAGTACCGGGACATAAGACATAAGTCAACCAATGACTTTGAGTCGACGCCACAGTGACATAAGTCATATGACCGTATACGCAGCCAAAGCCAGTGGGCTCAGAGCCACGGCGCATTCGACTTGCACAACTACTTGCCCTCCTCTTTCAGCAGTACATTCTCAACGACAATGACAGGTCTGGCGATCCCGTCCGCATCACCAAGTTACTACAGGCTGCGATGTCTGCGCGCCGGACTGTACTTGCGGGGGACTCTCCTGTGGCGACGGGTCATACGGATAGAGGGAGTGCTCATGTATGCCCTTTGCGCACCTGCGATATCCAGCCTCCCCTCACTGATGATCACTCGAACAGGTTGGCGAGCTCGACTCAGATGAGGAGCCATGATACCGTACTCGGCCGCCGATGTCTACTTAGATATCAGCATAAATGGATTGCAGGCGTGGGCTATGCTTGATAGCCTTGCGGAGCGCGAACCTCACACTGAAGACTCGACGACAGTTAATAACGCTGTTCCGCGTAGGCGCTTTGAAGGATTGCATCAGTTTCTTGACGTACTCATAGACCGCGACTCTGTATACAGCGAGCAATACATGTAGACCGGTGCGACAAAGCAAACCAGAGAATGGTCTGTCGGCTTTGCGGTGAGTCTTGTGTGCGTCAATGCGCGCCTTTGCTGACTCGGACGGCTATGCAATTGGTCTCGCTAGCTCGGATATGTACATGCATTATTCATACTCGTCAATGCTTCCTATCGCCGAGACCTAGTTCGTACCGCAGTGTATGGGGTGTCTTGGTCGTCAGTCTCCAATTGCGCTGTGTCTATACACTCACAGGTAAGTCTGTGTTCTTTGCTTGGCCTCCGGATGATCTGACGCATGAATCACCTCCGTCAGAGCCGGATCAATTGGGCAATGGCAAGCAAGAAGAGACGAATGCACGGTGACTTCTCAGACGAGCTGGGCTGTTGCACCACATACAGTCGTTCTCCGTCGATGGCTCATGTCTGCCCTGCTGGATGCAGTGTGGTATGTCGTCATCGCATCCGAACAACTAGTTGTTAGTTGATCGGACTGTGATTGAGTCTTTATCAAAGCTTCAGTTGACGAGCCGCAATCCTTCATTAAAAGGTCTAGCATATGGACCATTGGCCCTAGTCCACAAACGATCCCCTGCGTTGGTATGTCCGGCCATGACTCTGTAAACTCCTCCCTGATACATGCACAGACTTGTTGCCCCGTTCTCGAGACCCATACTTGAATGGTTAACACCACCATCAATCAAGTGACATGGACTCAGACTGCGCCGTCAAGATATTCGTTGTCTGTTGAAGCTCCACCATCGAGCTCGACAACGTACTCGACGAGTCTCACTACCGACGTAACCATCTCGCCAACCAATGCCTCTCAGGGTACTTCTGGCTCATCGGACGCACTGACCTCTTCATTGTCTTTGTCTTCGTCGGCGGCGATGTCTTCTGAGGTGTCCAGTCCGTCTCCGACAATCATGTCGGAGTCGGAGACGTTACCCTTGTCCACACACCTCTCATCGTCGCTTCGGTTAACCCTCACCAATGGATCCAGCACGCCGACATCGGCCTCAAAAACATCTTCTGTGATTCTCATGCAGACATCGAGAGGGACATCGAGCGCACAGTCAGCACACTCCTCTGTGCCTACGTTGTCTTCCATTGTGCACCACCGGACCATGTCTAATGCCAATATCATCGGTCTCGCAGTAGGGCTCGCTTCGTTGACATCGCTAGTCGCTGCTGCCTCCATATGGTGTGTTGCCCGTCGCTGGAAACTCAAGCGGGCGTTGCGCCACTCGAAGGAACCGAATCAGGGTGAGTGGAAATGCCCTGCTGAACCTTGATAGCGCTGCTCACTGACATCATGTTGTACAGAGCCACACATGGGGAACAACGTACCAGTCACGTCACAGGTTTATCCGTCATCCTGCCCAATGTGGGCGACGGAAGACGTCCTCATAATCGGCACACCTAGACACTCCATAGAGCAATCGGTATCCCAACAGACCGACAATACACGTGCTCCGCGTCTCAATGTCAGGTTCGATATACACCCGCGATCGTCGGACCCATTCTTAGACCCTGCCTCATCCCGTCGTTACACTGCCTCATCATCTTTATCCCATGTAACTCGCGCCGCATCCTTCGAAATCGACCCATCGGCAACATCGGTGAACGCTTTCGGGGACGAGCAGATACATGCTCCGCTCGAGTCACCACTTCTTAGCTCGCCCGCACATCACCTCAGCCTCCGAGACAGCTCACTCGTCGCGCAGCAAGGGTCCTCCTCGTATCGCTGGTCGGTAATGCCGCCTCTGCCTTCGGCTGCCACAGTCCGCATACCAGCGATCCATAAACTTCCTGATCAGCCGGGGCAACACACCGATTCTGGTCTCCGATTTCAATACGAGTCTGCGGCTGCCGGTATATCCACAGACACCCTGGATCGCCCACCAGCATACACAGAGGACTGAGGAGCGCGTGGGCTTGTGACCGAGTGTCAAGTTCTCGGATACCGATGGGCCTGCCGGGCCGCCTGCGGAATCGAGTGGCTTCGTGATCGTAACAGTTCGTCACTTACGACAACATGTCTTGTTAGGCCGATGTTACATTCATTCGTGAGGGATGTACCCAACTGTATCAGCTTGATGATCTCGCAACTCATTTCATAGTGTTGCCCTCCCTCAGGTCACCATGAGCCTCTGCATTTGCACGTCGACATGCTACTTGTTTTGTTTGTGAGCGACTTCCGTACATGAGGTATGTCAAGATATATGAACCTTGACGTTGTCAGCATCGTGGAACGAGTCCTGAGCTGACTTGCATCGATTTACAGTCAATTAAGAGCATACCTGTGTGTGCTATCACATCCGTCGTCAATAAGCACAGCAGATGATGATGGGCAGTTGGCTCTGTGCGTTGAGGTTGATAGATGAGTCTACACCATGATCTCCCGACCTTCCGAGTTCTCCTACATGATAGTCGGACACAACCATTTATCTGAGCAATGACAACTACGTGGTCAAATGAAGAGTCGGTTTTGCTTCTTACAAGGGCTCAAGCGTACGCAGTTCTAGTTGCCGGTACACGATACTGCTCACAGTGATCCAGTACAGCCCTGTCCTGGCACTAAGAGCCGCCCGTATTCCTAGCTGATAGCAAAACCCCGGTCAAGTGAGCGATTATCACTGTGAGTAGTAACCCACGCAGTCAGCTTATAGCGCTCAATTCTTCAAGTTGCCTTGATGTGCTCATGATCATCCATCCTTCTGTGATGACGTCCAGCGACACTCCCAACTTCCGCGAACATCGCCCTTGGCTGCAGTCTGCCATAGCGGATTCATCACAAGGCATGTACAAGTGACTGTCATTTGGGACGAACATATTGACCATCATCATGGTTGCAGCTTATCATAAATGGGCTCGTGCCCCCGTATATTGCGATGGCAGCCCCCTTCTCAGGTTGTTCTCTAATGCCGAGCACTACTTCAAGATTCACCCAAGGCACTTACGCCCTAGGCTCGCCCATGTGGGCCCCCGCACAGATCTCCACCACCACCGAGTTCGAAACGAACAGAGCTTTGGATGCAACTCCCGATAGCTTCTCTTCCGCTTCTCTTGCGATTGTCAAATCAGGCAGCGAAATTGTTGCGTAAGTTACGCAGAAAACGGGTTCTACGGGAGATACTAACATCGCTTCAAGTTGGCACATCAACAGAGTTCGACCAACTCAGTCATCCCGAGGCGTGCTGCTGGGTGGAGTCGTCCTCGATTCAACTAGCCCTCCAGATGCACCCACGACGTCGAGGGCTAGTATATCCGAGAAAGCTCGTATTTTCTATGCCACGATGACATCAGACGGCGAAACTGTTGTGTACGTTCCACAACGGGTTGCGGCACCTTTGCGGGTCAATACTTATGTTACTCACATATATAGAGTGACTGCATTCGTCCCCTCAAGCACCCTCCCTCCAGCTATCCCGCAGGACGCACCCGCACCATTGGACACTACCAGAATCACTCAGAGGACCGTTGGGGTTACTCTGGGGGCCCTACTCTTCATGGGTCTTGGGTGTCTGTTGTGGCGGTGCCGCCGACGCCGACGCCGGCAAAGGTGGAACCAGTGCTTGACTGCCAGAAGCGACACGCGGCATATTATACGTCGAGTATCGGGAACCAGTACGTGCTAGTCTTACATCGCTTTCATTAGTATCTTCATATGACAACGATATCCTGCAGAGACGTTCACCGAAGATGCATCACCTATGGACTTAGAGTCGCACTCGGGGGCAGATCTAGAGCTAGCCGAGTCGCCTGCCCTCCAAACGGCGACCGACGCAAAGATCTCGCATCCGCCGAATGCCAATCTCGTGGTTGACGAGAACTGCCCAGATAATCGCAACGCTGGACTTGGTCTCCCGGATAACGTCTTGCCGCTCCATACGACGGTCACAGAAGACGTTTGGTCGGGACCAATACGTAGCACAGCGCAGGATGCCCCTTCCGTGGCATACGCCACTTTTCTGCCTCATACACGGTCGTCCATAACCCCTCCGCCGAGCTTCCGAACACATCCGAGCGCGGCAAGTGTCCGTACGTCGTACGACCAGCACGTCGATTCCGGATTCCGCTTTCATCCAGGTGGCGAATCACAGGCTCCGGAACCTCGTCGTCGCGTTGTCGACCTACCGCCTGCATACACGGAGGATTAATCACGGAAACAGGAAGAGCGATAAGAGCCTACTGACTGACAGATATGCGATACTACTAACATCGTCGTCACTTCGATGCCATGTTCGACTAGTAAGCGCTTCGAGGGTCTTTGTAGCGTAATCAATCACATACATCATTGTCGGCCGCCAGAGACACCACGGCAAGCTGTTCTGCCTGCGGGACAGCGACCTCTTCCCAGTCGAAGTCGTCGTCGCTGTCGGCTCCGATGTAGTTGGGCTTATGACAGATCATCTCGTGAAGTGAACCTGTTCTTAGCTGGGACTACTCACGTTATGGCGCTACCATGAGGGTGCACCCTCTTGCGCCTCGGACAATCATGACGAGCTCTGCTGCCGCTCATCAGTTATATTATCACTGGGAACACCCGTAGCCTACGATGTTGCTGCGCGTTCCCATAACACGGTCACAAAGGACTTTACAACATGAGATTCAGTAATGCGAGCCTGAGTTGCCCGCGCTTTGCGGCCGTAGAGAGAATACACAGATGGCATGGCGATGCCGCTTCTACGCGACACTGGCACGTTGGGGCGTACCAAGGTGACATAGAACCGAAGGTCGAGCTTGCGGAGGCGCGAGACTTCCATAGAGGCTGCACGGGATGTGAGCAGAATTGCCGTCCATTCGGACCTCCATCCATGTCGTGCGTTGTCGCAAAGGCTGTAGCCGAGGGCGAGGACCTCGAAACGGTGTTGTGTGGCAAGACAGGACCCACTGGGCCCATGACGGTGTATCAGCAAGTGTTTCCCAACTTTAAGCAACCGGCGTGCTACGCACCTATCATCATCGGAAACACGAGACCCACGAGAGACGATCCCAGACGATCCTGCACTCCAGCCGTTACATTGAAGAAGTCCCGTAGCCTCCAGGCATCCTGGCACACATCAGTACATGCAACGTTTCACGCTTGTACGGCATGCGTCCGCGCCAGCCAATCGAACAGCGACTCCTCGCGAAAAGACCCTGCGCTATTCCGGTCCGTCACAGCGAAGAAGAATCCTATAGAAGAGCGTGCAGCTTCAGCTTGCCACCCGTAATGGATGTGATAGCGGTGACAGGTGTCGATTATCTGGCCGCGCTCGTGGCAAGTGGAAGCTTTCCTTGTCGCCGCGTGTACCTGCATCTGTGTACACAATGTCTGATATTCTATCCACGGAATACTCTGCAACACGAGCTCCCTGTGGTTCGAGTGAAGCATTAGCGCGAACTAGTGCATGGACACCGAGATTTGAAATCTTACCAATATCTCGACCAATGTTACGTGGACCGCATCATAGTCTACTAGAACACATGAGCGAACTGTGTCTTCATACTGTTGAAACGATCTCCGAAATGCCATCCTTCGAATCGCTCTCCAGTTCATCCCCGCTTTGCGTCTTCTCCGGCTCCTCGGGGTCATGTATGCCGTCGATGCGACTTATCATACCCGAGTGATCGACTTCCTGGAAGGTCTTCGCTGCACCGGCCGCGGGGAAGATCTGATTGAGTGTCCAATATATGGAGGCCGATACGGCGAAGCCTGTGAAAAACGATAGGTCATAGATATGGATGGCTGCCTCTGAAACTGGTTGGCCAGCTATACAGCGACAGGCATGAGCATGAGGATAAAGCCAAGCTTGAGACGACGTACCGGCACCAGCGAATCCTACGACATTGATGACTATGCCTGAGATATACGCCACATATGCCCTGCATCGCTCAAGACCATCATGAGCGAATCAGAAGGTGGTACAAGACCTACCGTAGATTGATTCCATACGTATAACTGTACCAGCCACCTTTATCGGGGCGGTATAGGTCGCTGACGCGGTAGTGCCCCTTGTGTATGATGTAGTAATCTGTGACCTACAGCGCGAGCTGAGAAAGTCGCGCAATCAGTCGAGGTCGACGGTCGCTCACCATCACTCCTGCAATCGGACTAAGGAACACAGAGTACGCAGACACGAACGTGGTGTAGTTGCTACTCTTGAGAACGTTCCATGGGAGCATGCACAATCCAACTATCGCAGCGATGTAGCCTCCGCGACGGATGTTCTGCACACAGGGTCAGAGATGCTCAACACATAAGCTAGGCATCTTACGATGAAGCGCGGAAACAAGGCAGTGAGGTCACAGCCAGCACTGATTGAGTTCGCGGCAATATTTGTGCTGAAGTCGTACATGAGCACTGCACTATCCCATGTGATTCATCGATACTCACCCAAGCTAGAAATTCAATCGGGATGCAGATGACGAAGCATCAGGCTTGCACGCTCTGACACAGCCATGAAACGAACCTGTGCGATGACGAACGCTGCCGAGATGAACCATACCTGTATCGAAAGCATTGTCAAATACGACGAAGGACAGATGATGGATAGGACAAACATACCGCAAACCGAGTTGCATGCGACGGGCTATCGTCGAGAAACGTGCCGAGCAGAGTGATCGGAGACCAGATAGCCTCGCCGTATATAGTCTGTGACGACGAGCTGACGATGATCCCGAGAAAGCAGACAATGCCGAAGCCAAGGGGCATGGATATGAGCTGAGGCCACAGAGCATCCTGCGGCCGTCGTGCCCTCGACGCGAAGTCCGGGGCGTTCCTGAACGGATGCACATGAGTATCTCCGCACGGTTGAGGAGGGCGGTACGCATACGTTATGAGCGTAGAAATATTACTGATGCACGACATCGTTCTCGAGATCATCATCCACGCCAGAGTTGAGCCATGCAGTGTTCCCGGTTGCCGCACGATCGGTCCGACACCGTGCGCTTTGACGATGCACCATATGAAGAAGGTGACGATGGCAATCGGGACGATGATGGCCTTGACGGTGAAGAGATGCCGCACTTTGTGGAGGGGGAGCCAGATCGCCGGTAGGGAGATGAGCCAGAAGAGGAAGAAGCACATGAAGTCCCGCGTCGTCGTTCCAGAGGAAGCCGGCATCGAGTTCGCTGCGAGTCGTTGAGACAGGACGCGGACAAGATTGGTGATAGGATTGCGTACGGATGTTCTCGACGCTCGGCCATATCGCTCGCAACATGACGAGCACGCACGATCCACCCAGGCTCGCCTGCACGCCGTACGAAAGGCTCCAGGCGTGACGACTATCGGTGTCTATTCACTATTCTGAGGTACTGTAAGACTTACCACGCCATCGCCACCCGATTGAGGATGCACCAGAGGCTCCCCCAGATCCCGAAGCTAGCGCGAGAAACCACGGGGAAGGTGATATGGAAGATCGCTCCCGGGCGAGCATTGAGCACAACGAATGGTGCAGCCACGCCGAATCCCAACCAAACGCAGAGCCAAGCCTGCCACCAAGATAAACCAGCGTTGATCATAGAAGCGGCAATCTGCCATCTGGGCTTATAGTGAGTCGGGTCATGGCTTCGCGGGAGGATGCTACATACGTATTCATATTGAAACCGTCAGTAACCCAGCTGAGAGGATGGGGAACATCAGCAGTGCGCTGCGAGTTGAGACGACAGTCTTACAACGAGACATAATTCAACATGGCCCAAGTGCGTCGCTCGGGCGGGACAGGATAGAGATCCTCATTCTGTGAACGAGAAAGAGTGATCAGATGCACTGACAACTGAGAGTGTTGTAATCACCTTCAGGAACCCTTCGGAGTACGACAACTCCCCATCTGAGTCCACCTGCTTGACTTCCAACTTGCGAACGAGTCGCTGGAGGTACGCTGTTGCGCTCATGGCAGTCAGTTCGGCACAGAACTGCCTGCCGACTCATGCGACCCATGTCCCTCCTTTATGGCTATGCCTCGAATAGAAATCCCATTGCAGTACGCTGATGGGGGCGACAAGTCGTGTGCTGTCGTGTGAACCGCTAGATAAGTGAGCGCTCTGACATAGTCAGCGTCATGACGCTCGGGGTAGGACAGTAGAGACGTCCTGTCACTCGATTACGATCACCAGACAAATTTGACTCGGACACAGTCAAATGTTTTACTACCGAGCTGGCAGGAGGAAAGGAGAAGCGGAGACGGGAGGAGGAGGAGGAGGGACCATTTAGCCGCCGGCCGTGGCACACGGCACGCGCATCTCGACATCTTGACGGTGACACTGACAGCGGCGGCCTCAGATCACTAGCGGCCTATGTTCGTACAACATCGCGACTTGACCGCAACCCATACGCCTACTTAGCACATACCACATTGCCGCTACATCGTGTAGATGTGGCCCCCGCCCTGACCCTCTCGCCACAATTTGGATTCGGCTGGGCGGACAGTTCTGCTATGTAAAACCTGGTGAGAAAACCCGTCTCCTCCCAGGAACCAGTACCTATTCATATTCAGTGCCGGTCCTCCGGACTCATCTGACCGAACTCACAGAGCGCCAGGCCATCTCATGACGGCCTGTTGTCCCAAAGTTATCCTCGAGAAAATGACAAACGGGTTGATGGGCGAACCCATCTATCTTCCGTCCGGTGCAGTGGTTAGCAGGGGCACCGTTTTGCAGTGCAAGTAGCATCTCAGATGGTAGCTGTTCGGTGAGTCCCATAGCCTGTAACGATGATATAGTCGCCACGCGAGGTGGCTTTGATGGGCCCGCGTAGCTATGATTCTGTCTGGGGTTGCTCTTCGTAGGAGACCACCAAGATGGGGACAATGTCACACAGCTGGAAGACCGTGTGCGTGTGCGTGTGCTCCGCGAGCAGAGCCACTACGTCTTCATCTCCAATATTGCTCTCCGCGATGAAGCGTTCCGGCATGTGGCACCAGTGTATGCACCATAGCAGCCGACCGGTGAACACAGCGACGAGGAAGCGCCCCCGTGTTTTTTTGCAATTCTTTTACTGAACACTGTAGTGTGCGTCCCTGTTACATACTCTTCGTTCACGCGTCACCGACGGCGTCCGCCGGCTGAGTACCTCGATGGCGAGAGGGTGGTCGGACACCAGCAACTGTCATAAGGCTAACCTGTGGCATCAGTTCGTGATGCGGCGAGGTATACGCGACGCTCAGAGGGGCGCTGCGCTGTGATCGTGCCGCGAGGACAGTGTGGCGATCTGTTATTTGAGAGGGCTAACCGACGACGTTCGCAGTTCCTCGAGGCAGCCGGCAACATAATCTGTCGTGAGTGGTGCGGTGATATTGACCTCGACAGGGACCGGCAGCTCGGACAGAGCAAGGCGGAGATCTCCTACCCATGAAGCATCTTCCGAAAGGGCCATCGCCCAGGCCAAAGCCAAAGCCGCGAGGGGCAGCGCTGGCGCTGCACGAGGACGGTACACACGCTGTACGTAGTTGGACTTTTTCAAGCTGCGTCCCTGATGTCAGTACATCAGTGTCGAGTGCGACCCTGCAGCCCGCCGTGACGAGGCGCGGGTCCACATGCGACTGGCACCGACTCAGCCTTTCCTTCTGCGTGGTGTGAACATATCGAGCGATGCGGGAGATCGCCGACAGAGGGTGATCGCGCGATGCCAGCGTGCCTGTCTTGCGACGAATTCGAACGAGACTCTGGCACCTGTCCTGAGTGCATTTCCCTGAAATGCGGTGAGATCTTTATTGTTGAGCGCATCTCACCAGTTTGGCACACTTTGACTCTGCGTCCGAACGAGGAGGTATGTTACTCCGAACCATTGAGCCTAGTTCCTGAGGTGCTGAACCAGATCCACAGGTGACGGCAGTGAGACTAGCGTCAGAGTGGTGGCAACGGCGCGGTCAAAACACAACTACAACACAACTAATGACCGATCGTAACGGATACAAAAACCACAATATATCATGCAAACCTACCATGATCGTTGAACGCAGACCCGGAAGCATCGTCTGCGACCTCCGCATCGCAATTCCGTCTGAATATGTGACATTTTCCCTGATATTCATGACTGCAGTCCGTCAATCGCGTGATTGGCAGATTGATCGTTCGTCTCCACTACTTACAGGGCTACAGCACACGCGCAGTATCATACTCATCATAGCAATACGATAGCCTCTCACTCGGTAGTACCCGTCACGGATTCGAAGCCAGGGGTCCGGGGCCGACTCGGCGACACAGCCCTAGAAGTAGGTTTATAATGTTCAATGGAGTCAGCGTTACTGTGGCATTGCTGAACCGATTCCGCACCACAGGTCTTGTGCCACGCGCCTCCTGTCCTGCAAGACTCAGGTGGCAAGGTACACATTTCCGTTTGTACTGGTGTATGAGTACTGATAGTCGAAACAAGACATATATTGGAAATTTCTTAGTACCAGGTGCAGACACAACGGTGTCCCTTCGTTCCATGGCTGTTTACCAATGTGCTGATGAGACCAGTCCATTGTTATGGCAGACCCGTTGTCAGGCCTTTTGCCGACGGCTCCTAGTACTTTTTCCTCCTCCTCCTCCTCCTTTAGCAGCAGCTCCTCCTCCTCCTCCTCCCTCAACACTACATTTATATACCACACTTACGAGCCGGACACCTCGTTGACTTACTCGGACACCTCGTTGCAACGGTACGCTAGGTATACCTCCGATGCAGGCTGATGTGCTAAAACAGATTGCATGGACAGCCCATCATCGCTGGACTCGGAGCCGAGTCTAAGCACCACACTCACGAGTACCTCCGCGACACCTACACCAGCGGGTACCCCCGGGCCGGCAATATCTGCACCAGCGAGCACCCTCCCCTCTCGACCAGCTGATCCTAATCATGAAGTTGGGATAGCCGTCGGGGTCGCACTCGGAGGCTTTTGCTTGGTGATCCTTGGGTGTTTAGCGTGGTACTATCGCCGCAAAAAGCGGGCTCAGATGCGGCTCGAGGATAGTTCGATCCTAGGTAGTCTACCTGGGGCCCCCGGAGCCGTCGGTGAGCATGAATACAACCCTTCATTCATTGTATGCTGAATCATCTGACAACTTTCCAGACCCGTATACGAAGATCGAATTGCCGCACTCGGGTGCGATCACGGCCGCACTATCCCCTGCGCCGAGGGTCGTCGGCGGGGATGGCAAAGGGGACGATACTGGAGTCGAAGGCGTTGCGCCCACGCACGACTCGGAGAATCGTGGCACCGATCAGCGCCGTACAGCCCGAGACATCTATACGACCCATCCTCAACTCACAACTGTCATCTCGCTGTTCGAGACCATAGCAACCACGTCGAACACTCATAACGCGGGGCTGGCAACCTCTTCCCTGACCGACGTCGCTTCTCTGAGCCCGCCCGACACGCGGTCGTCCATCTCCCCGCCGCCCAGCTTCCGGACACAACCGAGCTCGGTGACACTCCAGACATCCTACAATCACCACGTCGATTCTGGCATCCGATTCTATCCCGGGGAGCCACAGCCTCGCCGCGTTGTCGACGTGCCTCCGGAGTACTCAGTCGACTAGTAGGCACAGCGACTTGGAGAAGTCCCTATCGACTGCAGCGACCACGCGTACAGTCTCAGCGCTATCTGCTTGCTTCGCACGCGCTCGATTTAGGCTCGGTCACTCACATTCGAGAGGAATAATCATCAGAATAAGTTCGCCGTGGGGCTGATGATGGCAGTTCATCATGACGGAGTGCGTTCCATGTAATATTGCAATAGAGTTACATCGCGTGTTGATCATAGGTCCGATATAGTACCCTTCACTGTATATGATGATGAGACTGCCGACCAGGAGCACACCTGACAGTTCACCGGTGCGTATCAGTAGTTCTTCCAGCTGGTGGCTGCGTAATCTGAACCCTACAGTGTTCACGTCAATCTCTGCATTGCAGGCGGGATCATGCATAACTGTTCAACGTTCAATCATGCCTCAAACATCGCGGCGCAACGACTTCATGGCAATATTGTGGCTTAGGCTATGCAAGTGATTATGTATCGGCTTACTATCGGCTGAGGCAAGTGGTCAGATTTAATCATACAATGCATCTTGCGCGTTCCGACCTAACTTGACATCCTTACGATCTCCGAATCCACTTCAGTGTCCGGCTCGCGGACTTCGTCTGCCTATCTCTGCCCAAGTGACGCATTAGGGTATGCAGTGGTCAACACGACGGAGCGGACGATCAAGCTCATCATGGAAACGTTTGACGTGCAGAGTCACATTAGGCAACGTCGCCTGCTTACGTTCATTCGGACACTGGCAGCCGCCGTCGGCTGCAACCAAACAGCCCGCCAACCAGCATGTTCATTCTGGGTTTCGCTTCCACCGCGAGACGAATTTTCCAGATCTTTTCAGGGAGACGTAGTCCGATTCGCCTGCCACTTGCTTTAATTCCACCGAGACTCGAGAGTGAGAGCCTGAGCCTGAGCAATGGTTTAAATGGCGAGTTCTCAACTTGAATGAGTTCATATAGGGTTTACGTGCACGTACCGTGTTGTATTCGACCTGTAGTGTCCGAGGCTTAGGCCACGGGCCATTAATGGGTGGCATTGAGTGGACTGCGCTATGAGCATGGCACTAGCCTGAGCGAAGTCGACCAGGGAGAGGCGGCAACTGCCGAGATCGGAATCGACGCAACCATGACGTCAGCACGTGTGGTTTGGCCGACTTCAACTGCCGGTGCTCAGCCTCGGCGATGCACGCACTCTTCCACCAACCTTCTAGTATGTCCACTGCCAGAAATCTGTTCAAGTTTACTTGCATGCTGAATACACTTCACTACAACCGGCCGGTGGCTCGGAGTTTCTGCCGGCGATGAGAGCAGTTGTGACGTCAGGTTCACTGGCAGTGCCCCACGCCCTTCGACCTCTTAAAGTCTGGCCTTCCAAGTCGTTTCGCAAATCTACTCCAGGTACTCCGGCGACTTCCAAGTTAACGACTGTCATCTCCAGTAATCTCGCGACCATGGCGATGGTGAGCCCCCGGTGTATGCTCCAAGTACGTAGAAGAAGCTAATGAGTCGACATGTAGGCTATTCAGATGTGAGTGACCATGTACAAGGTCGTGTTCAGTGAGGCTGAAAGAGGTTCCAAAGTGCGACTTTCCTACACCAATGGTACCCTTGACTTGCCTCTTGCTGAGGAGTTCGTGATGCATATTTCGACAGGTGGTATGGACAAAATTCCGTGCCGACCAAGACCTCGGATCCACTGCGAATCGGGATCCTCTCGTCCGCGATGATCAACGCGGCAGGCATTATCCGCCCGGCCCAGACCCACGGCGAGGTCGTGCTCTCCGCCATCGCCTCGCGCGACCTCAAGACTGCGCAATCGCAGGCGAAGAAGTACAACATCGCGCACGCGTTTGGGTCGTACGACGAGCTGCTCGACAGCCCGCTCGTTGACTTCGTCTACATCTCGCTCCCGAACGGGCAGCACGGCGAGTGGGCGATCAAAGCGCTCGAGAAGGGCAAGCACGTCCTCCTCGAGAAGGCCTTCACCGCGAACGAGGCGGAGGCACGGCGCGTCGTCGAGACTGCGCAGCGCACGGGCAAGGTCGTCATGGAGGCGTTCCACTGGCAGTGCCACCCCGCCGCGCACGCGTTCAAGGACGTCGTGTCAAAGGTGCGTCCGCCCTCCCTCTGCTCTCCCTTATGCTCACCGGCCCGCAGCACGGCAGGATCCTGCGGACTCACGCGATCATGACCTCGCCCGTCGGCTCGATCCCCGCGTCCGACATCCGCTGGCAGTTCGACCTCGCGGGCGGCGCGCTGATGGACATGACGTACGTCCTCTCCAGCACGCGCTTCGCGCTCGACGCGGGTGCGCCCGTGCGCGTCAACTCCGCACACGCACGGCCGTCGCCTTGGGATGCGCGTGTCGACGAGGCGATGGACGCGACGCTCGTGTACCGCAAGGGCTCCGCGGAGGGTGCGGAGGGCGAGTACGACGTCGAGGCGACGGTGTACGCGGACATGCGCCGCGCGAACGTCGCCGGCCTCGTCCCGCGCGTGTGGGAGCTCCCCACCATCGAGGTCGAGACGGAGCGCGCGGTCGTGACGCTGTACAACTTCATGATGCCCCACGTACGTCCCCCGCTCGTCCGAGGTGGTCCCGGCGCTGACGGCTATGGCACGGGCAGCTGTACCACTACATCGCGATAAAGGACAAGGCGACGGGCGAGACGCGCTACGAGAAGCACTACAAGTACTCCGGGAAGACGGGCGCGCACGGTGAGGAGTACTGGAGCACGTACCGCTGGCAGCTCGAGGTCTTCGTCGACAGGCTCCGCGGGCGCGAGCCTGCGCACTGGGTCACGAACCAGAGCTCTATCGACCAGGTGCGCATTTTTCTAGCCTGTGTTTCTGCGGACAATGGTGGACTGACGGCTGTGGCGACTGCAGATGAAGTCGATCGATATGGTGTATCAGGCGGCGGGGCTGCCTCTGCGGCCCGCGACGAGGGATGTGGTCAAGCAGTGATGATGTCGATTCTGAAAATAGAAAGTGACGTACATGTATGATTAGTTGTCTAGCTTCACTGCCGACGTGGTCGCGTTGACCGGGAGATCATCCTGTGAAAGCAGCACCGCGATTGCGCTGCACCGCCGTCTAGTGTGCGGCTGGGACTTCCGCAGTATGACTGGTGAGTCCGTGTGGTTGTAGAATCTCATGACGGCGGACTCTGTCTCGCGCTGATTGGTCTGTAGACATGCCGCGAACGTATGCTGGCTGCACAGCTGATACGCGCAAGCCGTCGACCTGGACGGCGGCGAGACGCGGGTAGGGAGTGCCTGATTGGTGGAGAGGAGCGATTGGGAAGGCTGGTAGATTACGAACAAACCCTGTACATACATCAAAGAATACAGCATCTTCGCACATGAACACGAGTGCGAGAACAAGCGAATACGGCGTGAACAGTGGCTGTACGCGACCCCGCCGTTTACTCCCATTTGCGGCCCCGACTCATTCGTACAGACGGCTACCTGTCGTCGTCGCGCGCCGCACACATCGCCTGGACATGCCACGCGTCCCTCTCCTCCGGCCCTTCCTGAACGATGCACTGTCAGCACTGGATCCGAGGCCATTACTTTCGCTGCTCACCTTAGCGTGTTTCCCAAACCACTGCCCTCTCCATGACCTCGCGGCACGCACTCCGGAGCGTCGATTTGCTCATCCACCTCACCGCCTGCCTTGCGCACTGATACTGCGACGTTCGCCCGCCTTACGTGCTTGTTGCAGTTCTGCAGAGTACGGATGGGCTGACCTGTGCAGACGACCGACTGCGCGCAACGTGCACGTGTTCCCTCTCCAGCGTCCGGCCGTGTCTCAGCCGCTTTCCACCATGCGCGGAGAACTAGGATGCACGTCCGCAGCACTTCGTCAGCGGCCTGCGTATTCCGAGCCCGCTGCGAGTGGATGCGCGTTGGTGACGTTACATCGCCTCGCACAGGAACAACGAGGTCACGTCGCAAGCGGTGACATACGAGGCCGTCTTCATCGCACGCTGTAGACGGCGCGGCAGCGTTCCGGATACCTAGTTGGCGAGAGCGAGTGAAGCGATGGCCAGCATGCATCTCGAGTGCATGAGACGATGGCGGAGCGGTGAGTATGTCGTGACCGACAAAATGAGAACACTATGGATTCAAAACGAATGAGCATGGGCCGGCGAAGTTGACTGGGGTACAGTTATCGTTCAGATGGAGACACTGAGCGGGGTTAAACTGGCGAGCGAGGCTGATTTAGAAGCACGACAGAGCGAATTGAGAGGAGGCAGTTGTTTGGGTGTTGCAGCAAGGATGGAGCATGATCACGACGTACCGGTGACCGTTGCCATATCTTGGCCAGTCAGTGGAGGTTTACCTGTCAATGTAGCATCATCAGAACGCGAGGGGCGGCGAGGCGCAGCGTGGCTGAACGTGCATACTCACCAAGTAAACGCGCTTCTCGCTCTGCGCGAGAACGACGATGCGGGCGATCAACTATTCGCAGCGATCATCAGGCTGCAATGGAACACGTTGGTGGGAAGGGGTGACACCTACGAGGAGAGCAGCATCAACGAAATGTACCAGAAGAGATCTCGTTACTCCAAACGCGGGCTCACCTGACAACAGCCGATTGAGTACCATAGTGATTACACATCACACTTCTGAATGAGCATTGGATCTGGGCGGAAACGCGACGGCGCCACCAGGTGAGAATTACTGTCGCTCCGACGAGCCAAGAACTGGGCTTACCTGTGTAGCGCCTCGCCACGCACTGCTCCCGTTTCGACATGGTTGTACGGCGACGTAACCATTCAGATACTCGTCCCGCACGTACACCAGGCGATGTATCTTTGAACCTCGCACGAGCGCGTCGCTGCATCTTGTCACAGTCGGTGGTCGTCAAGCCTGGCTACTTTAACCTCGGAAGAGCCTGACAAGACCAGTGGCCGTCGTTGCGCGGCACGCGTCGTTACCCCGGGACGGTGAGTTGATTCCTTGTAGTGGCGAAAGCGTCACAGACGTGGACGCATGACTTGTGGGATGGGCCGATTGACCCTCGCGAACAGAGGTCCTGCTTGTGTTTTGACGGCGATGTCTCGCGCCGCTGCGATGGACGACTGCCTGGCGGGATACATCGTCGAGCATGCGTGCGAGGCGCATCTCACTGCGTCCAGGCCCGTCCGGCTTGCGATGGCTCTGGCTGAACCCGGGCGGTGTCACATGCCAGGTGTCCGTACGCGCTGTATGTAGCTACGGAGGCGAGGCTGCGAATGCCGTGACGAGCGAGAGGCCGGGGATATGTAGTCCACCGGGTACATAAGCACTGTGAGCGAGTTGGCGCTGACTGCGACCACTCGCCACGTCGGATCAGCAATGGAAGTATCTTGCAGTGGTGGCCGGCACGGAGGGAGGCTCTACTGCCACTGCGCAATGCATCCAAGATTGAGATGCAGCAGGTGACTAAGTAGCCGTCTCACTCAAGGCCCGAGTGCTGTCTACAGCCCAAGAGTAGGTTTTTGGGAAGGAAGCATCTGGCTGGGGACTGGTTGGAGGGAGTGCACGGTGGCGACGTGTTCGGGTGAATCCGCGTCTGCCCATAAGTATTCGACCGGAACGGTGGGTTCTTGATACGCGACCATGGAATAATGGATGTGTGACGACAGTGCAGGGTCTGAGAACCGTGCAAGGGACGCGATGTTTCAGTCAACTCACATATCGTTCTTCGTCATACGTTCGGCACCAGGCCGTTGCACACAGTTGGTCGTGGGAACCTGGATGTGCGACGACCGTGGAGAGTACAACGTCAATGAGCGAGCAGTGCACGTAATCGTTAAACTCACCATTGGGAGGATCCGTGATGTGAACACGATGTAGTGACTGGGCCGGCTGGTCGTAGCCATGTTCAGAGCGGCGTCGTCATCGGGTTCCGTTGCGCCGAGGACCTAGAGCGATGTTGAGACGCGGACAATGATCGCCAATCAATCCAAGACCACTTACGGAGATGTTCAGCAGATCCCCTTGCCGACGCTCAATGAGTCTCGGCGGGTACCTAATTGTACGCCGGTCCTTGTCGCAAATACCCTGCTGGCAAAGACGTTGAGTCATAAAGGCGCGAGAGAGTGACCATCTCGACTCACCGGGCATATGGCCGGCCAGCTTGAGAGCGCGCTCTCACTGTACCGGTCCATGACAATGACGTAGGTTTCAACGAAAGGCGTTCTCTAGTCCGACTCACCGCTTAGCCAACGACGGCGCTCCAAGGCCGCACCTCGCTGCGTGCCGTATGATGAGATAGTCGTGCACCCGTATTCGGAACTTCGCCGCGGTGGCGATGTAGTACCTTCCTTGATCACTGTTCGAGAACGTAGTAGTCAGTCAAATGCGTACTGTATGCATAAGTGGGGCTGCTACTTACATTGTCCACGAGTGTCAGGTTGTCACGGAGCAGCTGCATGATACTAAGCACCTAATTTAGCACCAATCGCGCCGTTACATGAGATAACATACCTCAGTGAAGCATCATTTGTCAATGAGCTAGTAGAAGACCGAGAAGTTGAGACCATGTAAGAACACGGTTCGTCTACACGGTGTCAATATCAACAACATACAGTACAGCACTTACCAATTTGTAGACAGTATTGGTGTCATGCTCGACGATGTTGAGCACTAGACACCGCGTCGTCAAGCATTGCGTGACGTGTCACCAGTGTTGAAGAAAGAGGTTTTAGGCTTAGTAAGCCCAGTGGCAGTGAAGGACTAATGAGTGAGTGAACAGACCAGTCCCAAAGGGAAGATCCTATGCTGGCAGGCAGAGGAGAGGACGAAGGATCGTTATATTTACAGGGCAAACCAGCCCAGTATATATACACATTTGATACAGGTCACATGCTGTATCAGTGGTTCATCAGTAAGCACTAAGTCCGAGGTTTTGGGGATATGAGTAAGCTGGTAAGCAGCATGAGTAAGCCAAAACTCGGAGTTTGATGTGGAGAGATATATGAAACGTGATGGAACATCAGGAATAATATGAGACATGATGGAACATCAAAGAGTGATATAGTACGTGATGGGACATCAAGGAATGATATGGAACGTCATGGAACATCAAGGAATGTCGTGGAATATCATGGAATGATCCGGACTAAAGTCACATGACGTAATCTAGGCAAAGTCCATCAAAGAACGTATGTAATCTGACATCGCAGAACATAAGTCCATATCCGTACATAACTGATAAGATAAGAACACTGAAAACTCGGAAGTTCAACACTCCCACTTGTTCAAGATGTCGAGTATCTCATCATGCCAACCGAAGACCTGAATTTCTCGATTCCGCTGAAGGGAACATTCTTGGTCAAGGCATCAGCAAGTTGGTCTTCACTTGCGACAAAATAGATGTCCATCTCCCCACGTTCGTAGAACTCTCGAATGTAGTGATACCGGATTTCTATGTGCTTGGTGCGGCGATCCACGGCGGGGTTCACTGCAAGGAAAATGTTGCCTTGGTTGTCAAGACAAAGTGGAGTTGGATGAGACATGTTGTCTCCCAGTTCTTCTCCAAAATGACGCAGCCAAGCCATCTGACGACAGCAGTCGGAGCTGGCCTTATACTCTGCTTCGGTTGAAGACAAAGATACCGTTGGTTGGCGTCTTGACACCCAAGAAACGACACAATTGGCCATGAGGAAAACAAAGCCAGATGTAGAGTGCCTATCATCACGGTCTTCAGCCCAGTCTGAGTCTGAGTAGGCGATCAGACCAGAGTTTGAGCCTCCATCGTAGCAAAGTGCAAGTTCCTTTGTCCCTTGAAGATATCTCAGGACATAGTACGCAAACTTCATATGCTCTTTAGACGGATTTGAAGAAAACTTCGCCAGACGCGTGACCGCGAACGAGATGTCTGGGCGAGTACCAAGCATAGCATACATGATGCTGCCAATGATGCTCTGGTAACGGGTTCGGAAAATTTCAGATGCAGTGTCGGTGTTCTTCTCTAATACTGCTCCAGCGGGAAGAGGTGTCCTTGCAGACTTGCAGTTGGACATTTGGAACCTCTCCAAAACAGACTGAATATAGTCTTCCTGGTC